GCAGGAAGAAATGCTACGCAGATGGCCTCAGGACTCTTCAACTCTAGGTAGAAAGGCAAGGCAACTAAGGAAGAAAACCTAAGCATTTGGGGGGGGATTGCTTTGAGAGCCCTTTAGCGAATGGCTGAGCACCCCCACCTGCTCCCCCCCCCAAATTGATCAGAGCACCTGCTGTTAACCCAGCTGTGCTTGGCTCAAAAGCATCGGTTTGCTAGGTGATGGGGGGGGGGGGGACTCAAGAAAAATCTATATATCTAAACAGCTTGAATCAGCCTAGCAAAACCTGAACTCCCAACAGCAGGTAGCTACGTTCGGTCTTTAACCCACTGGCTTTTTAGCCCGCCGTGCGTACAACTCCATCCTGTTCCCAAAAATTCAGGGCCAGACCTGTAGTGCAGCCCTCCCCAACTCCATGGGATTTATTTTCTACACCCGACGGCGCCTTTCCAAAACTTCGAAGCCACAGACAAGTACCGGTGTTCCCTCTAAGCTGAGTTAGTGTGAGCTAGCTCGCGGTATTTTTAGCCTCCAGCGCACACATTTTTGTCTCGGCTCGGGGAGGGTGGCTACAGAGCAAACTAATTTATGCCAATTTACTCGCTCATAAAGTAGAATTTTTGCTCTCAAGACTCCACAGCAGAGATAAACGCTCAAAGAAGCACTTAGAATGAGACTGGAGTATCGATTTTAAAAGCTTCGGAAGGCGGACACATTTTCCCACCTGTCAAAGGGAGGCTACCGGATCTCTCTCAGAACAAAGTGGTACGACAACCCCTGTGAGGTAGGACAGGTTGCAGCGGAGAGTGTAGCAAAGGTTGCAGTGAGCGTCAAAGGCTGAGACGGGATTCGAACCCAGATTTCTCCAGCCCGAAGCCCACTGGCTCTCCTCTTGGCCACTGTGGGAGACAGGATGCCGGACGGGATGGCCCACTGGTCTGATCCAACAGGGCTCTTATGTTGTCCATAGCACCTAGCAGCAGATTTTACTGCTACTCCCATCCGCCCTTTGTATGGAAAGCTCATGGTGGCAGACATTGGACTGATCTGTTTGGTCCTCACCACACCCCTGTGATGCAGGCTAGGCGCCCAGCCACTGATGGTGCCCAAAGCAGCCAACAGGTTCTGGAGGTCCACTACCTCATACACGACACTATCAGGCCAAACAACTTAGGCATGGGACAGCGACACACCTCACCCGAAGCTGCCTTATACTGAATCAGACCATTAAGGTCAGTATTGTCTACTCAGACTGGCAGCTGCTCTCCAGTGTCTCAGGCAGAGGTCTTTCCCATCACCTCCTGCCCTGGTCCCTTTTAACTGGAGATGCCGGGGATTGAACCGGGGACCTTCTGCAGGCCAAGCAGATGAACACATGAAGCTGTCTTAGGCCAAACTAAATTATTGGTCCATCAAGGTTGGTGCTGTCTACTCAAACTGGCAGCAGCTCTCCAGGGTCTCAGGCAGAGGTCTTTCCCATCACCTGCTGCCTGGTCCTTTTAACTGGAGATGCCGGGAACTGAACCTGGGACCTTCTGCATGCCAAGCAAATGCTCTACCACTGAGCCACAGCCCCTCTTTACAGCTCTCCAGGGTCTCAGGTCAAGGTCTTTCCCATCACCTACAGCCTGGTCCTTTTAACTGGAGATGCCGGGGATTGAACCTGGGACCTTCTGCATGCCAAGCAGAGGCTCTGCCACTGAGCCACAGCCCCTCTTTACAGCTCTCCAGGGTCTCAGGTGGAGGTCTTTCCCATCACCTCCTGCCCTGGTCCCTTTTAACTGGAGATGCCAGGGATTGAACCTGGGACCTTCTGCAGGCTAAGCAGATGAACACATGAAGCTGTCTTAGGCGGAATCAACTTATTGGTCCATCAAGGTTGGTGCTGTCTACTCAAACTGGCAGCAGCTCTCCAGGGTCTCAGGCGGAGGTCTTTCCCATCACCTACTGCCTGGTCCTTTTAACTGGAGATGCCGGGGATTGAACCTGGGACCTTCTGCATGCCAAGCAGATGCTCTACCACTGAGCCACAGGCCCCTCTTTACAGCTCTCCAGGGTCTCAGGCAGAGGTCTTTCCCATCACCTACTGCCCTGGTCCCTTTTAACTGGAGATGCCGGTGATTGAACATGGGACCTCCTGTACGCCAAGCAGAGGCGCTTCCACTGAGCCACCACATGCGGGGTCATCACAATACATTCTCCTGTCTTTGCCCAGGTGTCAACGCCATGCTCCGGAAAGTGGCCGTGGCGGCCGCCTCCAAACCCCATGTGGAGATCCGCCAAGACGGTGACCAGTTCTACATCAAAACTTCCACCACCGTCCGCACCACTGAGATCAATTTCAAAGTAGGGGAAAGCTTCGAGGAAGAGACGGTGGACGGCCGAAAGTGCCGGGTAAGAGACGGTTCTCTGTGACGCACATCTCTCCTAGTTGATGCTGTCCATTGAAAATGCCGACTCAAAATCAAAATATGATGGGTATGTGCGTGTGTGTTAAGTGCTGTCATAGAATCATAGAATGTTAGAGTTGGAAGGGACCTTGCAGGTCATCTAGTCCAACCCCCGCACTCTGCAGGAGATAGCTGAAAGATAGCTCTACATACTTACAACATACCCGAAAGATGGTCGTCCAGCCTCCGCTTGAAGAGTGCTCGTAAATGCTTGAAGAGTGCCCGTCAATTCACTTCTGATTTATGGTGACCCTAGGAACTAATGTCCTTCAAAATGTCATGAACAGTCTAGCTCAGGTCTTGCAAATGGAGGGCCTTTGTGGCTTCTTTGATGGAGTCCGTCCATCTCCTGTTGGGTCTTCCTCTTTTCCTGCCGCTTTCGACTTTCCCCAGCATTATTGTCGTTTCCAATGAACTGTTTCTTCTCATGATGGCACCAAAGTACGATAGTCTCAGTTTAGTCCTTTTAGCTTCTAGGGAGAGTTCAGACTTGATTTGATTTATCCTTTTGGCAGTCCACGGTCTCCATAAAACAGATTGGTGCAATATTGGTCAAAGTCCGATTTTTAAAAAGGACATTTCTGTTTTGTACAGAATGAGGGAGAACAGGGGCGTCAGAATAACCTATCTCCATGGAATGCCAAAGAGCAAAATAGACCCGGCTTGTCCCTAAAAACCATAGTTCATGATGATCTATACCGGCACTTCTGACATATAGCACCACCAGCCATCGTGTCACTAGAGGGTTTGATGAAGAGTCCACGTACCATTGGTACACCCTTGCCTGTAGTTTATTCTTCACATAGAATATTTATCGCTACGCATGTCTGCAACCAACAGTGCCTACGAATCTGCACAGCTCTCAATAGATTTCCAGTCAGTGCTATTTTACGGCAAAGCAGAATTAAGAATCCTTTTAAAAAAAAAACCCACCCTGTATTACAGAGAGAAAGAGAGAGAATGAATGAATGAATCATTCCCTTGGAATTTTGAACAGGAACATGTATAAATATTCCCACCTTTTCACTGTCAACATGGGACATTGTATATTACAGCTGTCCAGTTGTTAGAACTTTAGGAGTTTGGTCAGCATTAAATATCCCAGAAGTTTTGAAAACATTGAGATGTACAAAACCCAAAGAAAACGGAATAGAGCAAGGTAGAGGCTTACAAATAATTAAAGGGGGGCAAATTGGAAATACCCCCCTCCCCAAATCTCTCTCTCCAGAATCCTCAACGCTCTCAAGGACCTGAGGAAGACCATTTCTCCTCCTCCCCTTCTGTCCCTTAACCGATGTTCAGTTGCTCTCAACATTCCTGTGCTTCTGGGGAATATTAAGCCCTCATCAGGTCTATTTTTAAGAGTCCCCTTTTTCTTTAGGTTAATTCATGAAGTCATGTTTTTCTGCAAAGCTAGGGAGTCCATCCCCCCCAAGTGTGTAGAGACCTCTACCATGTACGAGGGTGGCCCCTCTGCGAGGAGGGTTGCCAATTTCCAGGTGGGGCCTGGAGACCCCCAGGAATTACAAGCAATGTCCAGATCAGAGAGCTCAGTTCCCCTGGAGAAAACAGCTGCTTTGGAGGGTGGACTTTACGGCATTATACCTTGCTGAGGTCCCTCCCCAGACCCCCAAATGTCCGTAAGTTCCCAACCCCCTGCAGGCAGCTCCATCAGTGAGGTTTTCGTCTTCTACACCAGACACTTTCCTGTTAGCTCTGGAAAGGGGGGGGGGATAGAATAAAGCCCTTGGGGCAGGTAACATGTCACAGCTGTGTTTTTCTACAGCTCCCAGCGGACAGATGGAGCAGATTAACGTTGCCATAGTGGTCAAAAGCATGGCACGCACCTTTAAAAGAGAGAAATCAGAGACCCGGCGTTCTCGAAACAGCAAGGAAATGTGGGTCAGATGTTTCCTGTGCCCTATTTAAAGGCTTGGGAAACGATTGCAGAGGGATCACAGGGTCTTAGATTTTTATTCCGGGGGGAAATCAATCCGTTAAACCCCTTTGCTGATCTGGACAGCTCTAATCCCAATTTCTCTTTATTCTGGGGAGGGGGGGAACTTCATCTATTCAAGTGGCTACAGATCAACGTGTTTCCGAGGTGTGTTTTTTTCTCTCTCTCCCTTTTGAAGAGGGAGGGGTGGAGACCAGTGTTCCCTTTAGGCTGAGTTAGTGTGAGCCGGCTCAGTTTTTTAGCTCCCGGCTCACAGATTTTGTCTTAGCTCAGGAAGGAGGTGGCTCCAGAGCAAACTAATTTATGCCGTAGCCAATGTTCCCTCTAAGCCGTGGAGTCTTGTGAGCAAAAATTCTACTTTGTGAGCTACTGGGGATTAAAGTTCTGAGCGAGCGATTCGGCTGCTGCATAAACCAGCTTGATCTGGAGTTATCCTTCCTGAGTGAAGACAAAAATGTGTGAGCTGGAGGCTAAAAAACTGTGAGCTAGCTCGCACCAACTCAGCTTAGAGGGAACTGGCCGTAGCCAAATTGCTCACTCACAGCTTTAATGCCAGGAGCTCACAAAGTAGAATTTTTGCTCACAAGACTCCACAGCTTAGAGGAAACATTGGTGGAGACCACGGCCCATTCTGCATCCAGCTTTTGCTCCGTCGTTTTCCCAAATCCACACTGGCACAGAGAAATATGCGGCTCAAAACCCCATTCAAATACCCCACGGCCAATGCCATATTGACTGCAGTCACCCCTGAATGGCCATATGCAGGCAATACAGTGCTCCCTCTAAGCGGTGGAGTCTTGTGAGCAAAAATTGTACTTTGTGAGCTACTGGCATGAAAGTTGTGAGCGGGCGATTTGGCCGCTGCATAAATTAGCTTGCTCTGGAGCCCTCCTGAGCTGAGACAAAAAAATGTGTGAGCTGGAGGCTAAAAAACTGTTAGCTGGCTCACACTAACTCAGCTTAGAGGGAACACTGGGTGGTACCATAAAGCCGAGAGATCAAATGAAGTGGAAGCAGCATGCAGTCTGGACGCTGCCATAAAATCCGACAGTCAGTCGAAGCAAAAGTGGCATGCAACACAGAGGGGAATTTCTGTTGTAATGTGAGTTTGGTAAAACAGCGGAGCGAATGCTAGATGCAGAGTGTGCCGAAAAGCCGTATTACCAGGGGTCATTTCCTGCAGGAGCGCACAGGAGCGGAGCTCCGGCAGTAAAGAGCCCAGGGGGCGGGCACATACAACAAGCCCCACCCCCTGCTCCCAGCAGCCCTCAGTCAGAGCAAGAAGCAGTCAGGTAAGTTGCAGAGCTCCCCCCCCCCGGCCCCAAACAGTCCAGTGGCACCTTTAAGACCAAGTTTTATTCAGGTACAAGCTCTCCCTCCTCTGCGAGGACAGATCTGCACGTTCCCCCCCCCCAATAGCTGGCAATCCAAAACAGTCCAGTGGAGCCTGAGCGGTGGGTGTTGCCTTCTGACACACTTCCGGTGATGTCAGGGGGTGTGGCATATGCAAATAAGTTATGCTAATGAGCTTTGCTAATGAGCTCCTGCACCTCTTTTTCTACAAAATGACCCCTGCCTATTACTGAAAGTGGGTTTTATAACTCTGACAAAGAGCCAGGCTCTTCTATAACTCCAGAGTGGACCACAGACTTCCAAAGACAAAGCACTGTATTCACAAGGATTACACCGTTCTCTAGGGTTGCCAGCGCCGGGTTGGGAAATACCTGGAGGTTTTGGGGGCGGAGCCTGATGTGGGCGGGGCTTGGGGAGGGGAGGGGCCTCAGGAGGGTACCATGCCATAGAGTCCACCCTCCAAAGCAGCCATTTTCTCCAGGGGAACTGACTTCTTGTCGCCTGGAGATCAGTTGTAACCCCAGGAGATCTCCAGCCACCACCTGGAGGTTGGCAATCCTACCTGTTGCTTCCCCGTCGTCTCTCATTTCTACGTCAGAACCAGGCTGGCCTTTCCCGTTTTTGCAGAGTCAAGCTGAGTGGCCAAACTATGAAACTGTGGAAAGCAGTGGATCGTGTCTCTCAAGACGATGTTCGCTTTAATCGTGTTCAGGGGTCATTTCGTCGAAAAATGAGGGCCGGATCTGACATAAACGAGACCTTGTCGGGCCGGGCCACGTGTGTCATAAAATGTAATGCCAGGTAGCGGAGATATAAACTTTATAAAGGACACAAACACAAAGGGTTTTTTTTTTAACTTAAAACACGCTTAAAACGTTAGCACTCTTGCAATATTTTGTTTATTTAACAGTGTCTGATAAGCGACACCTCTTGCTCTGAATTATTGCATCAAAATGTCTGTGCTGCTGCAATCCTGAGTAGGCTGTTCAGGTGTGTATCTGTAAGCTGCAAACCTACGATGACGCAGCAGCAGCAGAACCGGAAGAAGCAACAGAAGACAGCCAGTTCCACTGCGGGCCTGATAGAAGCCCTCTGGGGGCCTGATCCGGCCCCCGGGCCGTATGCTTGACACCCCTGCTCTAAGCTGTGGAGTCTTATGAGCAAAAATTCTACTTGGTGAGCTACCGGCATTAAGGTCGTGAGCGAGCAATTTGGCTACTGCAAAAATTAGTTTGCTCTGGAGCCCTCCTTCCTAAGACAAAAATATGTGAGCCATTGGGTAAAAAACTGAGCTAGCTCACACTCACTCATCTTAGAGAGAACACTGGTTTGGGAAAGGAAGGGACTTGAATAGGGTATAATGCCATAGAGCAGTGATGGCGAACCTTTTAGAGACCCAAACTGCGACCCAAAACCCACTTATTTATTGCAAAGTGCCAACACGGCAATTTAACCTGAATACTGAGGTTTTACTTTAGAAAAAAACACTCATACATTAACTTAAGATGATCCAAACAAAGTAAGGGAAGCAATCCCAAATGCTTTCATTTACTTAAAATTATTTGGCAGAGAATTCCACACTTTCATAATGGTCTGGGCCTGGCTGGGGCGACGGCACGCGTGCCCACAGAGAGGGCTCTGAGTGCCACCTCTGGCACCCGTGCCATAGGTTCGCCACCACTGCCATAGAGTGCAACACCTTCCAAAGCAGCCATTTCCTCCAAGGGAACTGATCTCTGGAGATCTGTTGGAATAGTGGGAGACCTCCAGCCGCCGCCTGGAGGCTAGCAACCCCAAGAGGGGAAGGACCTCCGGCAGGGTATAAGGTCAGAGTCTACCCTCCACAGCAGCCATTTTTCTTCAAGGGAAGATCTGTCGCGTTTCCAGCGAATCTCCAGGTCCCGCCTGGAGGCTGGTAATGCTGAACGCAGATGCTCCGATACCAGGAAAATACTTGAAACGTTCAATTGGCATCCGTGGGCCGCCCAGTTTGTTTTCCTCCTCATTAGCAACCTCGTATTGCTCCCCCGCTCCGGCAATTATGCTCTCTAGAACCGGAAGGAGAGCTTATCGTCTGGATGGCGGTATCCAGAACAAGTACCCTCTCTGCTGTTGATCGCTGTCTGCTGTGGGAGGACAGTCAAGACATAGCTAAACGGTGTTTTCTTGGGTGGGTGGGCGTATAAGAACGTAAGAGGAGGTGCGTTGGATCAGGCCAATGGCCCACCCAGTCCAACGCTCTGTGTCACACAGTGGCCAAAAATACCAGGGGCCACCAGGAGGTCCACCAATGGGACCAGAGCTCCCAAAGCCCATCCACTGTTGCCCCCCCAAGCACCAAGAAAACAGACCATCACTGCCCCATCCATAAGAATGTAAGAGAAGCCATGTTGGGTCAGGCCAATGGCCCATCCTCTCCAACACTCTGTGTCACACAGTGGCCAAAACCAGGTGCCATCAGGAGGTCCACCAGCAGGGCCAGAACTCCAGAAACCCTCCCACTGTTGCCCCCCAAGCACCAAGAATACAGAGCATCACTGCCCCAGACATAAGAATGTAAGAGAAGCCATGTTGGGTCAGGCCAATGGCCCACCCAGTCCAACACTCTGTGTCACACATTGGCCAAAACCCAGGTGCCATCAGGAGGTCCACCAGCAGGGCCAGAACTGCAGAAACCCTCCCACTGTTGCCCCCCCAAGCACCAGGAATACAGAGCATCACTGCCCCAGACATAAGAATGTAAGAGAAGCCATGTTGGGTCAGGCCAATGGCCCACCCAGTCCAATACTCTGTGTCACACATTGGCCAAAACCCAGGTGCCATCAGGAGGTCCACCAGCAGGGCCAGAACTGCAGAAACCCTCCCACTGTTGCCCCCCAAATGCCAAGAATACAGAGCATCACTGCCCCAGACATCAGAACGTAAGAGAAGCCCATGTTGGGTCAGGCCAATGGCCCACCCAGTCCAACACTCTGTGTCACACAGTGGCCAAAACCCAGGGGCCATCAGGAGGTCCACCAGCTGGGCCAGAACTCCAGAAACCCTCCCACTGTTGCCCCCCAAGCACCAAGAATACAGAGCATCACCGCCCCAGACATAAGAACATCAGAGAAGCCATGTTGGGTCAGGCCAATGGCCCACCCAGTCTAACACTCTGTGTCACACAGTGGCCAAAAAAGCAGGTGCCATCAGGAGGTCCACCAGCGGGGCCAGAATCCCAGAACCCCTTTCACTGTCCCCCCCCCCGTAAGCACCAAGAATACAGAGCATCACTTGCCACAGACAGAGTGTTCCATCTATACCTTGTGGCTAATAGCCCCTGATGGACCCCTTGCTCCACATGTTTCTCCAATCCCTTCTTGAAGCTATGCTTGTTGCCTCCACCACTTCCTGTGGCACTGAATTCCACGTGCCAATGACTCTTTGGGTGAAGAAGGACTTCCTTTTCCCCGTTTTTGTCCTGCAGAGTTTAGCCACGTGGGAGAACGAAAACAAGATCTACTGCAAGCAAACTCTTCTGGAGGGGGAAGGCCCGAAGACATACTGGACGCGGGAACTGGCCGGCGATGAACTGATCTTGGTAAGCACTTTGAGCTGAGTCTCACTTTACTGTCCTCTCCTGCCCCGTTGACATTATTAATACGAAGAATGCCCTGTTTTCCTGGGAGCAGGAAACAGTTGAAGCCTCTCAAACAAAATGCATTATGCTGGCCCCGATTAGGGACGCCAGCAATGTCCCCTCTAAGCTGACTTAGTGTGAGCCAGCTCACAGTTTTTTAGCATCCAGCTCACACATTTTTGTTTTAGCTCAGGGAAGATGGCTCCAGAGCAGTGTTCCCTCTAAGCTGAGTGAGTGTGAGCTAGCTCACAGCTTTTTAGCCTCCGGCTCACACATTTCTTGCCTCAGCTCGGGAAGGATGGGGCTCCAGAGCAAACGAATTGATGCAGCAGCCAAATCGCTCGCTCACGGCTCTAATGCCGGTAGCTCACAAAGTAAGATTTTTGCTCACAAGACTCCACAGCTTAGAGGGAGCACTGGAGGCCATCCTCCAGGTGGGACCTGGGGAGGCCCCAGAATCACAGCTCATCTCCAGACGACAGGGATCAGTTCCTCTGGAGGAAATGGCTGCTTTGGAGGGTGGACTCCAGTGGCATTCTACCCCACGGAGGTCCATGTCCTCCCCAGGCTCCACCCCCAAATTTTCAAGAATTCCCCAGCCTGGATCTGGCAACCCGACCCCCCCTGGCAATTTTCTAAGACACAAATACTGCATTACAGCAGCTGAGTTCTGAAGATACTCAGGAGCTCTGCCACATGTGCATTTGTCCATTCATGTGGCTAATTAGAGTGCCCATGTAGCCAAAGGGTTGCCAGCTCGAGGCTGTGAAACTCCTGGAAAAGAAGAAGAAAAGAGATTGAATTTATACCCCGCCCTTCACTACCCGAAGGAGTCTCAGAGCGGCTTACAGACTCCTTCCCCTTCCTCTCCTCACAGCAGACACCCTGTGAGGTAGGTGGGGCTGAGAGTTCTCTCGAGGACTGCCCTTGAGAGAACAGCTCTGAGGGAACTTGTGACTGACCCAAGGTCCCACCAGCAGCTGCATATGGAGGAGCGGGGAATCAAAACCCGGTTCTCCCAGATTAGGGTCCGCGCGCACTTAACCACTACACCAAACTGGTGAAGACTCCGGCATCATATCCTTGTAAAATTGAAATCTTCGATATGAGGTGATGAGGGAAAGATGGAATAAAGTTAAATAGAAGTGTAAAATTAAGAACATTTAATTAAGAACAGTTTGGCCAGGAGGTTTTTTGCCCTCTTCTGGGCATGGAACAGGCATCACTGGCACTGTTCCCTCTAAGCTGAGTTAGTGTGAGCTAGCTCACAGTTTTTTTTAGCCTCCGGCTCACTCACTTTTTGTCTTCGCTCAGGAAGGATGCCTCCAGAGCACACGAATTTACGCAGGAACCAAATTTCTCGCTCGCAATTTTAATGCCGGTGGCTCACAAGGTAGAATTTTTGCTCACAAGACTCCACAGCATAGAGGGAGCACTGCTTGTGAGGTAGGTGGGGGCTGAGGGAGCTCTTTCGAGGACTGCCCTTGAGAGAACAGCTCCGAGAGAACTTGTGACTGACCCAAGGTCACACCGGCAGCTGCATGTGGAGGAGTGGGGGATCAAACCCGGCTCTCCCAGGTTAGAGTCCGTACTGTTAACCACTACACCAGACTGGAATTCTGGGAGTGGAGCCCCCGGAGGGTGGGATTTGAAGTGGGGAGGGACCTCAGCAGGATATCATGCCACAGAGCCCACCCGCCAAAGGCTACCATTTCCTCCGGGAGAACTGATCTCTGTTATCTGGAGATGAGTTGTAATCGCTGGAGATTCCCCAGACCCCACTAGGAGGCTGGCAATTCATTAGCATATTAGGCCACACCCCATGTCTTCCCTTGACTTGCCCAGGTGCCCCACGGCTGCGAGATGCCTGGCAAGCCGGCCCTTAAATGCCTCCCCAATCCTTCCAGGGCCCCCCCCCGGCCCGCCCGCTTCAGAGTCGCTGGGGGGGGTCGCTCTCCAGGCCTTCCCCCTGTAGCCACGCGCGCAGAGGCTTTAGCTGCAGTGGGCGTGGCCAACTCTGAAGCCAGCCGGAACTCCGCTCCTGTGCGTTCCTGCCCAAAAATAGCCCTGGATCTAGGGTTGCCAACTTTGTGCTGGGGAATTCCTGGAGATTTAGGGGCGGAGCCTGGAGTGGGCAGGGTCCTCTGTAGGGTAGGCTAGTCAACCTCTGGGTGGCACTTGAAGATCTCCCGTAATTACAACTGATCTCCAGGCAACCAAGATCAGTTCCCCTGGAGAAAATGGCTGCTTGGGAGGGTGGACTCCTTGGCCTTATACCCCACTGAGTTCCCTCTCCTCCCCAAACCCCGCCCTCCACCCCCCAAATCTCCAGGATTTCCCGGACCCAGAGCTGGCAACCCTAGGTATAATGCTATCGAGGCCATCCCCCCCACACACATACACACACACAAAGGAGCCGTTTTCTCCTGGGGAACTTGCTCTCTGCAGGCTGAAAATCTGGTCGCCAGGCCCCACCTGGAAGCTAATACAAAAAAAGGGAAAGTCCTCTGTAAAAGCCAATTTTGTGTAGTGGTTAAGAGCACGGACTCTAATCTGGGAGAACTGAGTTTGATTCCCCACTCCTCCACTTGCACCTGCTGGATGACCTTGGGCAAGCCGTAGTTCTGTCTGAACTGTTCTCTCAAGGGCAGTTCTGTCAAGAGCTCTCTCTGCCCCACCTACCTCACAGGGTGTCTGTTGTGGGAAGGGGAAGGAGATTGTAAGCCGCTCTGAGACTCTGAGTAAAGGGTGGGGTATAGATCCAATCTCCTCCTCCTCCTCCTTCTCCTCTTCTTCTACTACTACTACCACCACCACCACCACCACCGCTACTAAAATTAAACCTCCCAAAATACTCAGACACTACATGGAATGCTTTATACAAAACAATCTTAATACAATCCTTGAAGTTCAAATAGTGCAAAGAGGGAAAGATTCAAGTTCGTAAGCCACAGAACAAAGGATTCATGTGGAAATTCCACATTCAAAAGTCCACTCAGTACACCAATAGTACTTCAGGTGAGTAGCAGACTCCTCTGTCCTTGAAGACTTAAAGTTCTGTTCACAGAGCACCTCTGCAAGTTTAGTTCCAGCTAAACCCAGAAGTTCCCAACTGGAAGTTGGCAACCACCTCTTCCTCCTCCTCATTATCATCATCATCATCATCATCATCATCATCATCATCATCATCATCATCAGGGGTCATTCCGTAGAAGAAGAGGTGCAGGAGCTCATTAGCATAACTCATTAACATAACCTATTTGCATATGCCACACCCCCTAACATCAACGGAAGTGTGTCAGAAGGCAGCACCCACCGCTCAGGCTCCACTGGACTGTTTTGGATTGCTAGCTATTGGGGTGGGGGATGCGCAGATCTGCCCTCACAGAGGACGGAGAGCTTGTACCTGAAGGTGGGCCGGGGGGGGGGGCTCTGCAACTTACCTGGCTGCTTCTTGCTCCTCGTGGCCTGACTGAGGGCTGCTGGGAGCAGGGGGCTGGGCTTGTTGCATGTGCCCGCCCCCTGGGCTCCTTACTGCCGGAGCTCCGCTCCTGTGCGCTCCCTCAGGAAATGACCCCTGATTACATGCATCATCAACAACTGAATTGCTTAATCACCCCATCCCTGAGTACACAGGGCTCTGGGAGATTTACAACAGATCAAAACATACAAAACACAATTTAAAATCAACACATCAATTAATCCTAATTACATAACATCCGAATACTATTTATTTATTTATGTTTGGTAAAAATTAGAACCCGACAGCACAGCAATTCTTGTCCCATCTGATTCAGCACAGATTCAGCACACAGATTCAGTTCATGGCCTTACCAAAAAAAAAAAAGTAATATCAATATTTAAGCTTAAACTTCCCACTCATCTGTCCCACTCATCTGATTTTTCTACTGTAGACTCGGATTTTAACCAGATTTTCAGATGGCGACAGATCACTACGCCCTGGACAAGTCCTTGAACATAACCGCTCGCGCCCCCGACACTCCCTCGCCCCCAGACTTCATATCACAATTGCTTCAAAGTGTAGGAAAGGATTTCTTCACCTATTCCTGATGAAGGCAAAGGGCTTTCTTTAAAAAAAAAAAAACTAGCCTGAGACCGCATTTTGTACAGTTCACAGACCATGCCGTGCGGGAGAGACGATCCCTGAACCAATTATCACTGCAGTCCGAGATCAGAACTTGGAGGCAGTCTGGGGGGAAAAAAAGATAATCACACCACAACCGATTAAAACCCGCGGCACTGTGGGGACACGGCGGGATGAATGAACATTCTTTTAAACGCCTGTCGCTAAATTGTGAAATTGAACGCGGCAGGTGAGATGGCCCGGCGTCCCCAGGGGAAGCTCGCTCACTGCTTTGATCTTCGGAAGCCCTGCCTTTCCCTTTCGAGGCACGCTTTGAATGGAACCTTCAATCTATGGCATATTAGGATTTTCTTAGCTGTATCATTTTGTCCTAACGTGCAGGGGGGTTAGGGTTACCAGCCTCCGGATGGGACCTGGGGACCCTCTGGAATTACAGGTCATTGGAGCAGACTACAGAGATAAGAACACAAGAGAAGCCAACGTTGGATCAGGCCAAAGGCCCATCCAGTCCAACACTCTGTGTCACACAGTGGCCAAAAACACCAGGTGCCATCAGTATGTCCAGCAGTGGGGCCAGGACACTAGAAGCCCTCCCACTTACCCACGCCCAAAGCACCAAGAAGACAGAGCATCCCTTGCCCCAGAGCCCCTATCTATACCTTGTGGCTAATAGCCCCTGATGGACCTCTGCTCCACATGTTTATCTAATTCCCTCTTGAAGCCGTCCATGCTTGTAGCCGCCACCACCTCCTGTGGCAGTGAATTCCATGTATGAATCACTCTTTGGGTGAAGAAGGACTTCCTTTTATCTGTTCTAACCCGACTGCTCGGCAATTTCATGGAGTGCCCACCAATGTTCCCTCTAAGCTGTGGAGTCCTGTGAGCAAAAATTCTACTTTGTGAGCAGCTGGCATTAAAGTTGTGAGCAGGTGATTTGGCCACTGCATAAAATAGTTTGCTCTGGAGCCCTCCTTCCTGAGCTAAGACAAAAATGTGTGAGGCAGAGGCTAAAAAACTGTGAGCTGGCTCACACTAACTCAGCTTAGAGGGAACACTGGTGCCCACGAGTTCTCATATGGTGAGAAAGGGAGAAAAGGACTCCTTTCATGACCTGCTCTATCCCATGCATCATCTTATAAACCTCGATCATGTCACCCTTCAGCCGTCGCTTCTCCAAGCTAAAGACCCCAAGCACTTTAACCTTTCTTCATAGGGAAAGTCTTCCAACCTATTTATCATTCGAGTTGCCCTTTTCTGCACTTCTTCCAAAGCTAGAATATCCTTTCTGAGGGGTGGTGACAGTACTCCAAATGAGGTCACTGGAGAAAATGGATAGTTTGGAGGGTGGACTCTATGGCCCTGTATCCCACTGAGGTCCCTGTCCTCCCCAGGCTCCATCCCCAAATTTCCCAAAGTTTTCTAACCTGGATCTGACAGCTGAAACCCCCATCCCCTGCTCGTGGCCGGGGGGGGGGACCTGGAAGCCCTGGGAGAGGCCACATTCTACTGGGGCATGAATGGGCATTGCCAGTTTGGCATAGTGGTTAGGAGCGTGGACTCTAATCTGGGAGAACCAGGTTTGATTCTCCAGTCCTCCACATACAGCCAGCTGGTGACCTTGGGTCAGCCACAAGTTCTCTCAGAGCTGGTCTCTCATGAGCAGTTCTGGAAAGAGCTCTCTCAGCCCCACCTACCTCACAGGGTGTCTGTTGTGGGGAGGGGAAGGGACAGGAGATGGTAAGCTGCTGTGAGACTCCGAGTGAAGGGCGGGTTATAAATCCAATCTCCTCCTCCTCTCCACTCCCTTCAGCTCTCTTCTGGGGAGACATAATAATTATTAGACTTATTTTAAAACAATCATTTCTTATTTCTTGAAAAAAAATATTCGATACAGAGCCGTGTGCAAGGTCTATTACCTTCTCTGCCAGGGCGTTAGGTCTTCCCGGACTCAGCCAACAGCCTCTCCTCTTCGGATCTGTGTGTTTAGTCCAGCAGCAGACACGCAGAGATGCTGTTGAACTGTCTACGCCACAGCTGTTCAGAGCACTTAAAAGAAGTTGTTATTCCTAAACACGCAGAGCTAAAAGCGACAAGAAATACAGGGGAAAGATGAGGCCAATGGGCGGAGCAGCAGTTCCTAACTCACAGGGCAAGTCCTTGTTTTCTGCAAAGGGTGGAAGGAAGGAAGCCGAGACCACAGACTCACGCAGAGACTCAATGACCAACCTCCTCCTCCAAGTTTCTGCTTCAACCGTGCACCGGGACCAATGGAATGACTAGATGGTGCCCGATATGGAATGGTGGCAGAATTACAAACCACTGCAGAGCCATAGGCACTGGCACCTATTGTGTAGATGTGCAAAACATGTGCCCTTGGGGTGCGCAACACACATGACATAAGCTAGGGCTGCCAACCTCTAGGTGGGGCCGGGAGATTTCCCAGGTTACAACTGTTTTCCAGTTGACAGAGAGCAATTTCCCCTGGAGAAAGTGGCTGCTTTGGAGGATGGACTCCATGGTATTATACCCCGCCGAGGTCTCTCCCCTCCCCAAATCCAACCCTCTCCACGCTCCGCCCTGTTTGGTGTAGTGGTTCGGAGCACAGACTCTAATCTGGGAGAAAAGGGTTTGGTTCCCCACTCCTCCACATGCAGCTGCTGGTGTGACCTTGGGCCAGTCACACGTTGTCTCGGAGGTGTTCTCTCAGGAGCAGTCCTCGAAAGAGCTCTCTCAGCCTCACCGACCTCACACGTGTGGTGGGGAGAGGAAGGGAAGGAGGTTGTAAGCCACTCTGAGAGTCCTTCAGGTAGTGAAGGGCGGGGTATAAATCCAATCTCCTCCTCCTCTTCTTCTACATTGGCTGATTGGAGTGGGGGCAATGCAGCATCTAGATTTGGGGGTGGAGCCTGGGGAAGGTGGGGTTTGAGAAGGAAGGGTCATCAGCCGGGTTCAATGCCCTAGAGTCCAGCCTCCAAAGCAGCCATTTTCTTCAGGGGAACTGATTTCTGTAGTCTGGAGGGGAGTTGTTATACTGGGAGGTCTCCAGGCCTCACCAGGAGGTTGGCAACACTGGCAGCATACCATCTCCTCTGCTTATAGACACTTGTCGAGCCTTTAATTCATTTCTCAGATGCCTGTAGTTTGGGAATCGCTGGATCCCTCACTGGAATAATAAGGGCAGCATTGGGTTGCTTCTGCTATCTTGTCGGCTGAGAGTTCTTCCCTCTCTTTTCTTCTCTAGACCTTCGGAGCCGATGATGTTGTATGCACAAGAATTTACATACGGGAGTGAAAGACGCCAGCTGCCATCTCGCTGTGGGGGGGGGGGGGATAAAGGGAAGGATTAACTGGCAGATGTGGTGGGGAAATCCTGCAGGGTAAAATATCTGTGGGGGTCTCCCTCGAGAGCAGCGCCGACGTGACCACGCATCCCCTCTTCGTCCTCCCGCGCCTCTTGCTTTGTTTGGCTTCCATAACCTGCTAGAACTGTCCCCCACCCCGCCCCCTTCCTGTTTGCTCCATAGCTACGAATTTGTACGGCTCGATCAATAATTAAATCGATTGGATATCATCCCCAAGTTGTTGTCGTTTTGTCTCGACTTCATGCTTTTGGGTTTTCATGCGGAGGAGTGCAGCAATCACGAAAGACCAAAGCTATCTGGTCACTACCACATGAACACACTTGAACACAAGGCACTGTCTTATACTGAATCGGATCATTGGCCCAACAAGGTCAGTATCGTCCACTCAGGCCAGCAGTGGATCTCCGGGGTCTCAGGCAGAGGTCTTCCTCCCCATCGCTTGGGTTCACCATCAGCTTCAGTAATAATAATAATAATTGTATGGCACTGTATGCAGAATAGCCAGGAGATCCTAAGACTGTCTGGCAGCCAGGAAGTTCTAGCTCTTTTAGCAGTACGCACCACTAGGTGACGAGGTAGACTTGTTTTTAAGGCAAGAGACGTTTCAGAGGTGGCTTGCCGTTGCCCGGCTCTGCGTATTCCTTGGAGGTCGCCCCTTCCAAGTACTACCCAAGGCCGATCCTAATAATAACCGTATGGCATTGTGTGTAGTATAGCCAGGAGATCCTAAGATTGTCTCGCAGCTAGGAAGTTCTAGCTCTTTTAATACTGTGCACCACTAGGTGGCGAGCTAGACTTGTTTTTAAGGCAAGAGACCTATTGCCTGCCTCAGCGCCACGACCCTGGTATTCCTTGAAGGTCGCCCTTCCAAATACTACCCAAGGCCGACCCTGCTTAGTGACTGAGATCCGATGGGATCGAGCTAGCCTGGGTATCAGCTTTGGTCCCCATTTCTTACTCCATCTTTATGCTTCCCTATGCTTGAGCAGCCCATGGATGAATCTTGGTAAGCTAACAAGGTAGGTCAACAGCAAACACCTTCAGTGGGTGGGATTCTCAGGGTCTTCATCCCTCGGCAACAGTTACGGCCCAAACACAGTTTAATGGCTGGTCTACTAAATACTTATGCCTAAAGCTTTGAAGGGGCACACTGGGAACAATCCGTTATTGTATCGCTCTGCCATAGCGCCCCTCCCCCCTTCAAGTCTGGTCAACTATATTTTGGCACAAATGGGAGAAGACGAACGTAAGAACATAAGAGAGAAGCCAATGTTGGATCAGGCCAATGGCCCATCCAGTCCAACACTCTGTCACACAGTGGCCAAAAATACCAGGTGACATCAGGAGGTCCAGCAGTGGGGCCAGGACACTAGAAGCCCTCCCACTATTGACCTCCCCCCAAGCACCAAGAATACAGAGCATCCCTTGCCCCGGAGTCCCTATCTATTTGTTGTTCAGTCGCACAGTCGAGTCCGACTCTTCGCGACCCCATGGATCATCTCCCGCCAGGCCCTCCTGTCTTCCGCCGTCCTCTGAAGTTGGCTCAATTTCATGTTCGTTGCATCGATGACACTGTCTAACCATCTCATCCTTTGCCGTCCCCGTCTTCTTTGACCTTCAATCTTTCCCAGCATCAGAGTCTTCTCCAGGGAGTGCTCCCTTCTCATTTGGTGGCCAAAGTATTTGAGCTTCAGTTTCATTATCTGGCCTTCCAGGGAACAGTCAGGGTTGATTTCTTTGAGAATTGACTGATTTGATCTTTTTGCAGTCCAAGGGACTCTCAAGAGTCTTCTCCAGCACCATAGTTCAAAAGAATCTATTCTTCGGCGCTCGGCCTTCCTTATAGTCCAACTCTCGCAGCCATACATGACTACTGGGAATACCATTGCTTTGACCATGCGGACTTTTGTTGGCAGGGTGATGTCTCTACTTTTTATCATGCTGTTTAGGTTCGCCATCACTTTCCTCCCAAGGAGCAGGCGTCTTTTAATTTCATGACTACTGTCACAGTCTGCAGTGATCTGGGATCCCAGGAATACCTTGTGGCTAATAGCCACCGATGGACCTCTGCTCCATATGTTTATCTAATTCCCTCTTGAAGCCTTCTATGCTTGTAGCCGCCACCTCCTGTGGCAGTGAATTCCAAGTGTTAATCACTCTTTGGGTGAAGAAGGACTTCTTTTTATCTGTTCTAACCCAACCGCTCAGCAATTTCATGAAGTGCCCACGAGTTCTTGTACGGCGAGAAAGGGAGAAAAGTACCTCTTTCTCTACCTGCTCTATCCCATGCATCATCTTATAAACCTCGATCATGTCACCCCTCAGCCGTCCTTTCTCCAAACTAAAGAGCCCCAAGCACTTTAACCTTTCTTCATAGGGAAAGTGTTCCAACCCTTTTATCACTCGAGTCGCTCTTTTCTGCACTTTTTCCAAAGCTATAATATCCTTTTTAAGGTGTGGTGACCAGAACTGTACACAGTATTCCAAGTGAGGTCGCACCATTGATTTATATAGGGGCATTATGATATTGGCCGATCTGTTTTCAATACCCTTCCTAATAAACGCCAGCATAGCATTGGCCTTTCTTATTGCAGTCACACACTGTCTCGACATTTTCAGTGACTTATCTACTACAATTCCAAGATCTGTCTCTTGGTCAGTCACTGCCAGTTCAGACCCCATCAACGTGTTTTTATAGTTAGGATTTTTGGCTCCAATGTGCATCACCATGCACTTGGCCACATTGAAGCCCATTTGCCACGTTGACGCCCACTCGCCCATCCTCGACAGATCCCTTTGGAGTGCCTCACAATCCTCCCTGGTTTTCACCACCCTGAACAACTTCGTATCATCCGCAAATTTAGCCACTTCACTGCTTACTCCCAACTCCAAAACATGAATGAACAAGTTAAAAAGCATCGGACCCAGTACTGATCCCTGCACCACCCTCCACTGAGAGTTTCCCATTTATACTCACTCTCTGTTTCCTATGCATTAGCCAGTTTTTGATCCACAAAAGGACTTGTCCTTTTATCCTTTTTTGTGTGTCATTTTTTAGCCCTCCCACTGACCCGTCTCCCCCAGCACCAAGAATTCAGAGCATCACAGTTGGAACGGGAGTCCACCTGTTTGAAATCATTCCACTGTCCAAGATACAGGGACAGATGGACTCATATTCTAGCAGTAGAAAAGAGCGAGGGTACAGGAGCACCTTAAAGACAAACTAAATTTGTGGCTGGGTAGGAGCTCTCGTGAGTCTTCTCACTTTTTCAGATACTGGGTCCCAGGATCATCATGGACAGGTGTGGCATTTAAATTTGAAGTCGGATAGGGTGGGGAACCTTGGGAAAGCAGCACAGGGGTGATGGATGCGCACGTGCGAAAGAGCTGCAGCACGGTATAGAACAAATTTGAGTGCTCGGTTCAAGCATCCACAGGCGTTGCTCGCAACTGACAGCCGAACTGTCAACACGCTTGTCCCTCGGTGCGTGAAAACTGTGTTTTGTCTGTCAAAGGGTTCTACGGAAACAACAGTTTAAAGAGACATGCAACTGGAACAGATCTCTCAACAGCTGAAGATGTTGTTTTCCTTTGCGGTCACACCTGCCAAAGCTGAAGTACAGATGCTGGAAACCTGCGTGTTAAAACGAAGGCTTACAAATTGTTGCCTCGAATGCTTCTAAACCCCATACATTTGTGTACAAATGGCCGTGCTGGTCCTTAAACAGTTTGGCTTTCTCTCTCTCTCTTTTTTTAGGGCGATCTGCTTTGTCCACTTTTGACCCCGATCCCTTATGAAAAGCTCTTCTCGACTCATTTCAAGCAATGCCTCACGCTACACATGCATAACGGAGCCAGTGGCCTGTTAAATTGAGTTTGGATTCCTTCGGAGTATGTTAATTTTATGAATACTTCTGGCCGAGCAATTACAATCCTTTTGCCCGGAGATTGCCTCTAGGATGCTGACCTAATTGGGGGGTGGGGAGGCATTTAGCTAGGTTTTTATTGTCTCATATGCAGAGGAAAACGATAAAAGGGCAAGATAGAAGATGCACAGGAAAAGCCTCCAGTGGGCATGCCGTCAGTGTGCATACAACAATCTGATCCAAGCAGACGAGAGTATCTTGGCCTCATCATACAGATAAGCCGTCGGTGCTTTGTCCCGGGGTGATGCCTAAAGCGCCTACTACAATCCCTTCTTCGCCATCCATGCGTCCGCTGTAAACAGACACCAACGCAGTGACCCCATTCGTCAAGAGATGAATGCCCAGAGGAAAGGGAGATGGCTGGCATATTCTCTGGCATTCACTGACTTGGAATCTGATTACGAGCTGCCCCCTCCCTTTGATTGGCACCCAAAGGATGCTGTCCGTCAGCCCAGTGGTTCGAAGAAGAGGCGCTTGTTGAGCGGAGGGTAATACTTAGAAATGCGTCACGAGCCACAAACCGACAGCTAATTTGCATGTACTCCATTGCCATGAGGGTAGGTATATTCCGCATCGCACGCTGGAAGAGAGAGGGGACAGAAAGGAAAAATACATCGCTCGCTGGCATAACTGCCATGGCATCTTCATAAATCTACTCGTTATGCCACTGTGGCTTGCCATTTATGCCAACATACAGAACAGCTTTCTACCGAGTCAGATGATTCTTCCATTGTGTACTAACTGGCAGCTGTTCTCCAAGGTCTCGGACCAAAAAAGATCTTACCAAACACCTGCCGCCACTGACCCCTTAACTGGAAACGCCAGGGATTGAACCTGGGACCTTCTGCACGCAGAGAAAGTGCTCTGCCGCTGATCCACGAACGTCTCTTCCCTGTGCTTTTGAGGGTGTCAAAGCAAGCTTCTGACCGTCAGACATTCTGGAAAGAGGGCTCTCTCTCAAGTGATTGTCTCAGACGAAGGCTGTTATTAAAATTTAAGAGACCGAAAATGGGAATTGTACATTTATTTATGTAACCTGGGTACAAACGTACGGTGCACAAACACCTGCATATTTGTCTCCACCAGCTGGTTCGTGGCAAATCCTTGGTAAGCCAGGCCAACGTTTGTGAGGGTAGTGAGTAAAGAACATAAAAGAATCCATGTTGGATCAGGTCATACAATGGCCAAAAGCCAAGTGCCATCAGGTGGTCCACCAGTGGGGCCAGAACTCCAGAAGCCCTCCAACTGTTGCCCCCCAAGTACCAAGAATATAGAGCATTATTGCCCCTGTTATGACCAGAGTTTCATTTTTAGATGTGGGGAAAACAAAAAAAGGGAAAGGTGGACTATGAATACTGTTTCCGTCAAGGTTCTCCAGTTCTCAGAACTACATCTGATAGGTGATTCTCTAACCACTGGTAGCAGTTGCGTCTATAGCGGAGTGGAGCCTGTGATCGTACAGCCGCCATAGATACGGTTCACTGCACCTGGAGAGTCCACAGCTGGTGAGAGACCGAAGCCCTACTTTCATCCTTCTCTAGTTTCCAGGTGGCCTCTGCTGACCATCCGGAAAGCTACAAGAATTCGTAACGCGACTTTTCACCGATACGAAAACGGAGAATTCAGATCAGTCACAAGCTTCGGAGGTGGGAAATGCCGTCAAGTCACAGCCAACTGTTGGCGACCCTGTGGGGTTTTCGAGGTAAGAGACGTTCAGAGGTGGGTTCGCCATTGCCTGCCTCTGCGTAGCAACCCTGGGCTTCCTTGGTGGCTTCCCATCCAAGTACTAACCCAGGCCGACCCCGCTTAGCTTCTGAGATTTGAAGAGATCAGAAGGTTTCTTTCACTTACTGTGAAGCTTCCTTTCTCGGTGGTTTTGGGATCATTGCAACCAGTGTTCCCTTTAAGCCAGTGGTGGCGAACCTATGGCACGGGTGCCAGAGGTGGCACTCAGAGCCCTCTCTGTGGGCACACGTGCCATCGCCCCAGCCAGGCCCAGACCCATCATTAAAGGGTCAAATTCTCTGCCAAATAATTTTAAGTAAATGAAAGCATTTGGGATTGCTTTCCTTATTTTGTTTGGATCATCTTAAGTTAATGTATGAGGTGTTTTTTCTAAAGAAAAACCTCAGTATTCAGGCTAAACTGCCGTGTTGGCACTTTGCGATAAATAAGTGGGTTTTGGGTCGCAGTTTGGGCACTCGGTCTCTAAAAGGTTTGCCATCACTGCTCTAAGCTGAGTTAGGGTGAGCTAGCTCACAGTTTTTTAGCCTCCGGCTCACACATTTTTGCCTTAGCTCAGGAAAGATGGCTCCAGAGCAAACTGATTTACTCAGGAGCCAAACCGCTGGCTCACAGCTTTAATGCCAGTAGCTCCTAAAGTAGAACTTTTGCTCACAAGGCTTCACAGCTTAGAGAGAGCATTGATTGCAATCCACCGATTCTACAACGGCGACAGCTGTCCCACACGCACAAACATTTCTCGGCCCAGTTCAACAGCCAACGCCAGCCCTGGGAAAATTGCTTTTTTTTTTTGACAGCCTGTGTTCTGACCTGACAAGGTGGCTCAGACAACCACCATGCAAAGATGAGGCCACTCATTAGTCGTGTCCAACATCCTAAAACTTCCCATTCTTCTCTGTGTAAAAATCACACCCTTTACATTACACAACACTGGCATGGGCCGGTATGCTCGGAAAGATTGACCAAAAGAAAAGAACAACTAGAGGTTAAGAAAGAAGCAGTGTTCCCTCTAAACTGAGCTAGTGTGAGCTAGCTCATAGTTTTTTAGCCTCCGGCTCAGATTTTTTCCCTTAGCTCAGGAAGGAGGGCTCCAGAGCAAACTAATTTATGCAGTAGCCAAATTGCTCACTCACAACTTTAATGCCAGTAGCTCACAAAGTGGAATTTTTGTTTACAAGACTCCACAGCTTAGAGGAAGCATTGGAAAGAGGTTCAAACCAAGAAAAAAAGAAACAACATGGAATATACTCTGCAGTGCATCATCTCCAGAAGGATCAAAACGAAATAATTTTATTGACTCACTCCCCCTGATCCAATCTTGATTTTTGGGCACCTCCAGCTACCTGGGTTTCCAGAAACTGGTCCAACCATATAAACATATACCTGTATTTTCTGTTTTTTTGTTTGTTTGTTTGTTTTAAAGGGTATTTGGGTTTCTTGTCTCAGAAGTTGCAAGAGCTTCACATACACTCATATGGAAGTATTCTCTTGCAGATGCAAAGCCGAGGCCGCAAGCGGCTAATGTCCTTGCCCATATTCCTTTTCCACTTCAGTGCCCAAATGGGTCATCTTCTTCTTCTCCTCCTCCTCCCCCCGCTTTCTAAAAATACCCCACAAAGAGCAAAATATGCTATCACCATCTGAAGCAAGCGTGTGAATAAAAGTATACCATTTTGCCAACGGAAATTCTGGGCCAAAAAACTCCGAAACACAGTCGTTGGGTGCAATGCTCCCTCTAAGCTGTGGAGTCTTGTGAGCAAAAATTCTACTTCGTGAGCGACTGGCATTCAAGTTGTGAGCAAGCAGCTGCATCAATGAGTTTGCTCTGGAGCCATCCTTCCTGAGCTAAGACAAGAATGTCTGAGCCGGAGGCTAAAAAACTGTGAACTACCTCACACTAACTCAGTTTAGAGGGAACACTGGTTGAGTGTTGACCTTGCGGTGGCTTTCTTCCTTGCGGTTCATGACAGACATGTTACCCCCCCCCCCCCCCCCAACCCCCTTAAACAAAACCGCCCCCGGGGCTGCGCCGACCTTTCCGGTGGACCGATGGTGATCAGGAAAGAGAACCAGATGTGGACACGAGTAGCCCCGGTATTTTAATGGAAACACTGCACTACATTCAAAGTTTACAACATCTGTATAGAAATCATCACATGAATAAGGTGGCAAAAAAAAGGATCACAGTACAGAATACAAAAAAAAAAAAGGCAATTAAAAATAATAAGGGAAGGGTCGGGAGCATTGTTTGCTATTGTACAGGCCAGGATTTGAGCTTGGAGCTCAGATGTCAGACATCAGAACGGAGGGGAAGGGGACGGAAAACGAGAAAACGTCGCGTTTGGAAACCCTGCGCCAGAAGGATGAGCCAGCAGCCTCTTCCGCTTTACCTGTCGGGCACAATCTCATCTCCCTTATTCCTGGATTTTTGGGGCCACCAGAATGCCACCCTGCCACTTCCCTGCCTGCCGCAGATGATGCTTCAAAAAGCGCCACTAACAGCCGCTGCTAGCTTCCAAGCTGGCAGAGAGTCCGAACCAACTCTTTAATGCATACAAAAAGGGGGGGGGGATGGGACACATTTGAGAGACTGCCTAGGGAAGCGCACGAGAACCCTGCAAAATGAAAGGGGGCAACGTTTCCCTTCCCTTCGAAACCCCTCTTGGAAGAAGATGAGGGGAGGAGGCACGGGGGGGGGGGGGGGGGCACGGGGGGGGGGGAGGGAGAAATAGCTTATTGCTGGAATACTGTTAAGAACTCCCCCGGCTGGGCACTATTTGAACCCTCACAGGTGGACTTCTCCCCTGCGTACACCCTGCCTCCTAAGACGGGTCCCGTCCCACACCTTTCCATTTGGATTCCTCCCTCAGGGAACTTATCTTTTATCTTCTTCTTCTCTCTCTCTCTCTCGGTCTTGGACTGCAACACTGCTGTTCTGGGGGGGAAAGAGGGGCGCATCGACCTGCCTGGAACCCCCCGGGGGATAGATTTAAACTAGCAAGTCAGGATGGGAGGAGAGCAAAAAGAAAGCCCAGAAACGCATCTTCTCTCTCTCTCTGATTCTTTGCTTTGTCCGAGCTAACGCCGCTTCCTTTTGAACGAGGAAGAGACAATGAATCGGTCGCCACTTTACAAACGTTCACCGAAAATGCCTTTGAAAGGGAGCTCTGTCTCGCTCGGTCGTTTTCTTAGCTATTTGCTTTTGCCGAGCCTTTTTAAATAAAAAAATAGATATTCACGCGGGTTATATTTCACCACTGAGATCCCCACCCCCCAAAAAACCCTCCCAAAACCAAACTCAGCTCTCTTTATTCTTCTCCTCTGTACCCCCCCGCCCCCCCGACACAGACACACTCCTATTTATAAAAGCAGCTCAGTCAAATACTGGTTTGGTACTTATCTCTCTCCGATACTGAGAAGTCACACACGTATGTGTGTATTTGGGGGGGGGGGGAACCAGCGAAACCCAACTAGGTAGCTCAACAGAACTTCACGAAAGTGCAGATGGTGCTGGAAGACAGGGTAGGTAAGAAGCTGGGCCCTATCCCGCCCACCCCCAAAAGGAAATAAGAACTGTATCAACATATATTCATATACTGGACAGGCTGCTCTGCGATACAGTCACGTTAAACCACAGCACAGACGCGCTCTCCTACGCCTGCTCGAGTCTTCTCGACTTCCATTTGAAGACGGGAATACAGACGGGTTGGGGGTACCCCCCCCCGCCACCGCTTGCTCACAGATTTCAACAACGCACTAGGGAACTGGGGGGGTGCACGTGTCTTTCTCTAGTGAGAACCCTAGATGTATTATCATCATTACTATCACTGTATTTGTTTTTGTACAAAAGGGGGGGAAACAAACAAACAAAACAAAACTTTCCCCACACGAAGCACTACAACGATAACTCCCTTTGGTAGAAAGTGTCATAAAACGTTGCCGTCCTTGTCCGTAGGTGCTAAAACCCAAAGCCGACCGGGTACTAAGGTACGCGCGAGAAGCTAGTAACGGCGATACTAGCGTGTTGAGCAGACTTTCTTTAATTAAAAAAAATTTGACAAATATATACATTTATTTACAAAAAAGGAGGGTGGGAGGAAAAACCATTTTAATATTGGTTGCTGCTATCGTGAAAGCCACGGGTGTTGCGTATATAACGTTTGTATGTCGGTGGGTGTGTGAAGAGGTGGCGCGTGGCGCTAAGAGAGAGACTAGTAAAACAAACAAGCCGGTACAAAAAAAGTCGAGAAGAAAAAACAAAACAAAAACAAAAACCCAAACCAACCCCAAATAAAACAATAGTTCCACTGGCACTAGAAAGGACAGACCGATCTTAATTGGTGTATGTAAGTCAAGAAGAGTCCGGGTCACGAGGAGGGGGAACAGCAAGAACAAGAAAAGAGCCATTTTGGGGGGGGAGAGGAGTGTCTATTATTCATGAGCTGATGTTTCCGACGGCCGGACAGTGGAGCCCAGAGCCCCAAGATGGAGGATTCCGGAAAAGTCTGTGGCGGTACCGGCTTGTCCTGGCGGGCCGTTTCTGGGATTCCGAGCGAGGATTCTTTGCCCACAAAAGCCTTTGCAGTTTCTTTCTTTCTTTCTTTTTTTTGGGGGGGATGGTTAAATGCACCAATATCCGCTCAGGCTCTGCGTAGCACCTGCCGTCCGTGACGCCCGTGCTGTTGGAAGGTTTGCTGCTGGTGTGAACGGGCGAGGCCGGTTTCCCCTACGGCGATTCGGAACCTCCCCCCCCCCGGCCCCCGGTCATTGTGCACGTGGAAGTTTTGGCTCCTTGGCGACAGCTCCAGCTTCTCAAGGCTAAAGACCTTTCGGAAAGCCACCCTCTCCGGGGCGACGGGGTGTACCAGCTACGAACTAAGTCGAGAAGTGGCCGTTACGAAGATACACAGAAGGGTCGGGGGAGGGAGGGAGGACGGGGGGAGGGAGGCATCGTCCTTGGTTTTCTTTCCCCTGGATGCACACGCACGTGGGACACGGCGTCTCTCCCCCCCAACTCCCGCCCTGCCGCCATCGCCGAACTGCACTTTCCTCTCTCCTCCCTTCCCTGGAGTCTAGGGTGTCTTGAATATTGTGCCGTATTTGACGCGGTACTTGTTAATGTTGACAAAGTGCAGTTCCTCCTTGTCGCAGGTGGTGGTGCAAGGCACCAGGCCTTCCAGGCCTTCGCCCATCAGCCACTTGCTGGTCTCGGCGGCCATTTCGCGGGTCACGTGCTCCTTGGTCCACGCGTCCACCCAGGCTTGGAACCTCTGGTGCAGCCTCTTGCTTACTCTTTCGTGGGACTGTAGGAGGGAGAGGGTGGCGGGAGGGGGGGGGAGAGAAAGGGGGGGGGGAAAGAAGGCTACGGTCACCGGCATTACAAAATCAAGATTAAAAAAAAATCAAGCATGGGCATGCACGGAGGGACGTGTGACCCGACCGGTGCTCCCTCTAAGCTGTAGAGTCTTGTGAGCAAAAAATCCTACTTTGTGAGCTGCTGGCATTAAAGTTGTGAGCCGGCGATTTGGCTGCTGCGTAAATCAGTTCGCTCTGGAGCCACACCCTTCCTGAGCTAAGGCAAAAATGTGCGAGCCGGAGGCTAAAAAAACCGTGAGCTAGCTCACGCTAACGCAGCTTAGAGGGAACACTGGACCCGACCAAATTGCAAAAGGGGGGCGGTCACATGTGAGGTTACATCTGCGATGTGTTCGATCTGGGATGTGACGTCTGGGATGAGCCATTCACACGTGGTGTCAGAAAGCACGGATCGAGGCACGTAGAGAGGGGGATTTTACAGAGCTAGGGGCAGGCTGGAAATGGCTACGCATTGCCTGTTCTCGGACCAATGAAACACCCATCGAGGAACCAGGAAGCAGATCAATGGTCTTCCGGGGTAGATGGAAATGTGAAGGGAAGGGGGCAGGCAGGCAGAGGAAGAAGGATACTAGAACACTGGCGAGTAAATCCTTAGGTTTGTCTTTCCTGTTGCTGGTGTGTGTGTGTGTGTGTGTTTGCAGCTTTGTTGCTCTCAGTCTCCTTCCTGGGGCCGACTTTTCAATTTTTCCCACTGAGGGGGAGAAGGAATTTCAGGGAACAGCTGAGGGAGCCTCTTACAGGCCAGATCCAAGTCTACTAGCACCTTAGAGACCAACAAGAGTTTGGGGAATAGAAACTTTCCAGTGAAATCTCCCTTTGTCGGATACTCTTCTCTTATATCCCCAAAACCTTGTCGGCCTCTACGCTGCTACTGGACTCGAACGCAGCTCTTCTACTGAAAACCAACGTGGCTACCCTCTTAAACTATCTTACAAGAGTATCTGACTCTCAAAAGCTCAGAAAGGTAGAAGGTAAAGGTTTCTCTCGCTCAAAAGCCAGTCGAATCTCACTCTAGGGGGCGGTGCTTATCTCCGTTTCCAAGCTGAAGAGCCAGCGCTGTCCGAAGACGTTTCCATGGTCACGTGCCCGGCATGACTAAATGCCGAAGCGCTCGGAACGCTGTCGCCTTCCCACCAAAGTGGTACCTATTTACCTACTTGCAATTTCTTGCATTCAAACTGCTAGGTTAGCAGGAGCTGGGGCCAGAGACGGGAGCTCACTCCATCACGCGGGCACTCGGGTCTCGAACTGCCGAGCTACAGACCTTCCGGTCTGCAGCTCAGCATCTTAACCTCTGAGCCATACCTCCCAAATCACATTGGTCTCTAGGGCGCTACTGGACTCAAATTTAACTCTTCTACTGAAGAGTGTCACGGCCACCCTCAGAAATTATTTTACAAGCCGGTTTCTCTCATTTGGATTAAGTGGGTTTTTTAAAAAGATGAAGTATTTTAAAATCCGGCCGTTACGATCTTTGCAAAGCAGTCGGCGAGTACGGCTCTCAAGCAATGTTCCCTCTAAGCTGTGAAGTCCTGTGAGCAAAAACAATTTCTACTTTATGAGAGACTGACATTAAAGTTGTGAGCGAGCGATTTTGGGTACTGCATAAATCAGTTTGCTCTGGAGCCCTCCTTCCTGAGCTAAGACAAAAATGTGCGAGCCGGAGGCTAAAAAACTGTGAGCTAGCTCACACTAAATCAGCTTAGAGGGAACACGGCTCTCGACTCAGCTCTCTCCTGCTTTGCGTTCCTCCGCCTCCTGCCACCTGTGTGATCGGCGGCAGGGATTCTGAGCGGCTCCCACCGTCATGCCGATCGGCAGGGGCCCCATTGACAGAGGTGTTCTCAACGACCGGGCCACCCATCGTGGAAGGTCACGGAACACAAGCGGTTAGGAGCGCATACTCTAATCTGGGAGAACCGGGTTTGATTCCCCACGCCTCCACATGCAGCCAGCAGGGTGACCTTGGGTCAGTCGCAAGTTCTCTCAGAGCTGTTCTCTCAAGAGCAGTCCTCGAGAGAGCTCTTTCAGCCCCACCGACCTCACAGGGTGTCTGTTGTGGGGAGGGGAAGGGGAAAGGAGATTGTAAGCCGCTCTGAGGCTACTTCGGGTAGTGAAAGGCGGGGAATAAATCCGATCTCTTCTCCTTCTTCTCCCTTCTCTTTCCCCCACGGGGCGGTGAGAGGCCGGAGGCTCTTCCCACCCCCCCGGCGCTCGGTCCTACCTGATGAGCCCGCAGCAGAGCCGTCCTCCGGTACATGTAATCCTCCGATTTGATCACATACACCATCTTATAGGAGTTGAGCTTAAATTTACACTCCAGCTTGTCTAAGCTCTCCACATTGTCCAGGGGCTTCTTACTGCTCCCTTCCTTGCCTTCCTTCTCCTGCTGCTCCCGGCCGCGCTGGCACTTGCGGATCCGCCTCAGGTTCCTGGAAAGCAGAGAACCCCTGCTGGGATTAGCGCCTTCTCTCCTCCGCCCCGACCCCACCTGGCTCTCGCTGACAGAGGGCACAAGCGCAAAGGGCCCGCCTGCACGTTAACTTCGCCGGCACCTTCCCTTATCCACCCTCTCCTCTGCTCGTTTTGCCAGCACAAGAGTGGGGGGGGGGATGAAGGGGAGGCCTGGAGGGGGTCCCCAACGCGGCGCCCGCGGGGCACCACCACGCCTGCTGACACCATTCCCGGTGCCCACCGTTTTTAGAAAGCGGGGTGGGGCCGTGCAGGGTTTTTGTCCAGCAAGGCATCCGGTTGGCTGTTCGGATTTTTTTTTTAAAAAAAATGCTGCTTTGGCAGCGGCTGCCACTTAAGAGCACAAGGGTCTTCCTTGTGAGCGAAGGTAAGTCGCGGCAGCCATTCTGTCGCCGGCTCTGCCTCCCGCGCCAGCCATTTTGCCGCTGCGCCCACCGCGCGGTGTCAGGATTCAAAAAGGTGCCCACGGGCTCACAAAAAGGTTGGGGACCCCTGGCCTGGAGGAAACGGCTAATCTAATGCCTGCCTCTGCGTAGCGACCCTGGACCGCCTTGGTGGTCTCCCGCCCAAGTATTAAACGGGGCCGATCCCGGTCCGCTTCCAAGATCTGATGAGATCAGGCCAGCCAGGCCAGGGAAGACAAACAGAGGTGGGATTTCCCACTGCCTGCCTCTGCGCAGCAACCCTGGACTTCCTCGGTGGCCTCCCCATCCGAGTACCAACCAGGGCCGACCCTGCTTAGCTTCCGAGATCTGATGAGACCGGGCTAGCCTGGGCCATCCTGGTCAAGGCACAAGACGAACAGAGGTGGGTTTGCCGCTGCCTGCCTCTGCGTAGCAACCCTGGACTTCCTTGGTGGCCTCCCATCCAAATACTAGCTAGGACCGACCTTGCTTAGCTTCTGAGGTCTGATAAGGCCAGGCTAGCCTGGACCATCCAGCTCAGGGCAGACAAACAGAGATGGGTTTGCCACTGCCTGCCTCTGCGTCGTGACCCTGGGCTTCCTTGGCGGCCTCCCATCCAAATACTAGCCAGGGGCCGACCCTGCTTAGCTTCAGAGATGTATCAGGCTAGCCTGGGCCATCCAGGTCAGAGCAGATGAACAGAGGTGGTTTGCCATTGCCTGCCTCTGCGTAGCAACCCTGGACTTCCTTGGTGGCCTCCCATCCAAATACTAGCTAGGACCGACCTTGCTTAGCTTCTGAGGTCTGATAAGGCCAGGCTAGCCTGGACCATCCAGCTCAGGGCAGACAAACAGAGATGGGTTTGCCACTGCCTGCCTCTGCGTCGTGACCCTGGGCTTCCTTGGCGGCCTCCCATCCAAATACTAGCCAGGGGCCGACCCTGCTTAGCTTCAGAGATGTATCAGGCTAGCCTGGGCCATCCAGGTCAGAGCAGATGAACAGAGGTGGTTTGCCATTGCCTGCCTCTGCGTAGCAACCCTGGACTTCCTTGGTGGTCTCCCATCTGAGTACCAACCAGGGCTCACCCTGCTTAGCTCCTGAGAAGTAATGAGATCAAGCTGACCTGGGCCATCCAGGTCAGGGCAGGTGAACAGAGGTGGGTTTGCCATTGCCTGCCTCTGCACAGTGACCCCGGGCTTCCTTGGCGGCCTCCCATCCAAATACTATCCAGGGGCCGACCCTGCTTAGCTTCCGAGATCTGATGAGACCGGGCCAGCCTGGGCCATCCGGTGCAGGGCAGGGTGACAAAAAGGGCTAGAAGGCCTCAAAGGGACGGGGCTCATGCCATGCTGTCCTCTCGCACGAAGGATGAGTGTGATGAAGATGGCTGATGCTGGCTTGATCCGTCACCCCTTCCCTCTCCGGCTTATACCGGACCCCTGGGTGTTAAGAGGTCTCTGCTCCTTCCGCAAACAGGCAGGGATAAACCGTAGTGACAGGCGTGGTAACCTTCTGGTGCAGGTCAGTTCTGGGTCAAAGCCCTCCCCGTTGTGGTCGCCCAGGGCGGAACAAAAAGGCTGTGTGTGTGTGTGTAAGGTGTGGTCAGGTTACAGCTGACTTACGGCGACCCCCCCCCCATAGGGTTTTCAAGGCAAGATAATTAAGGAGGGGGTTGGAGTTCATTGGCTGTGGTAGATTTTCCAGGCTGTCTGCCCATGGTCTTGGCACTGTAGGACCTGATGTTTCACCTGTAGCTGTGACTGGCATCCTCAGAGGTTATAACACAGAAAGACGGAGTACTCTCTGTGTCAAGGTGAGAAGAAAAATGGTAGGCAGGTGATTTATCTCTACTCCAGAAGGTGGGGTAGGGCTGAGTCATTATCTTGTAGGAGTTACCCAGGCTGTGAACATGCTAGTGGAGGAGCTTTCCTGAGGAGGTTCTTTTGTATAGGGATTGTTTCCTGAGGAGGTTTCCTGTGGAGGTTCTTATCTCTACTCCAGAAGGTGGGGTAGGGCTGAGTCATTATCTTGTAGGAGTTACCCAGGCTGTGAACATGCTAGTGGAGGAGCTTTCCTGAGGAGGTTCTTTTGCATATGGACGGGCTGTTGAAATTCTAGTCCCCTCTGTAGCGCTGTTGTAAGATGTAGAGCATTTTGTGTTTTTCAGGACAGGAAACCGTGCCCCATTTATTTTTAAACTCTCTTCTGTCCCGTTGAAATTTTGTTTATGTTTATGAATTTCAATGGCTTCCCTGTGTAATCTGAGATGGTAATTGGATGTGTTGTCCAGCCTTTCAGCGTCTTCGAATAAGATACTGTGTCCTGTTTGAATGAGGCTGTGTTCCGCCACTGCTGATTTTTCAGGTTGGCTGGCGGAATGTCAGGTCCTACAATGTCAAGACCACAGCTATACAGCCCGGAAAATCTACAACAACTAATGAACTCCAGCCGTGAAAGCCTTCGAGACAACATATTCAACGCTGGTATCCAAGTACAAATCAGGGCTGATCCTGCTTATCTTCCAAGATCTGACGAGACCAGGTTACCCCTGGGCCATCCAGGCCAGGGCAAAAGACACACAGAAGTGACTTGTCATCGACTGGCTGTGCAGACCAATGCTGGTATTAGCTGTTGTACATTTTCCGGGCTGTATTGGCCGTGGCCTTGGCAGTGTTGGACCTGACCTTTCGCCAGCAGCTGTGACTGGCGTCCTCGGAGGTATAACACAGAAAGATGGAGGCCGAACAAACTACTATTTCTGTTGAATAGCACTGAGGAAGACATAAACAAACTTGCGGCAAAGTTTTCACTGGCTGCTGCCTCTATATGTAGTAAAATTTTGTAGGCACTCAATATAGGGTAATTTTTAATAAAATTTTATCTTATGCAGAATCTGTGCTGTTTTTTTTTTAATTTCTCAGATATTATGTTTTTACTCTTGTGAAATGCCATTAAAGGAATTGTTTGTGTGTGTGAGTACTCTCTGTGTCAAGGTGAGAAGAAGAAAAATGGTAGGCAGGTGATTTATATCTACTCAGGAAGGTGGGGTAGGGCTGAGGCGTTATCTTGTAGGAGTTCCTACTCCATCTTTCTGTGTTATACCTCTGAGGATGCCAGTCACAGCGACTGGCGAAACGTCGGGTCCTACAATGCCAAGACCACGGCCAGACAACCCGGAAAACCTACCACAGCTAAAGAGGTGGTTTGCCACTGCCTGCCTCTGGACTTCCTTGGTGATCTACGAAATCCGACCGGGCTATCCAGGTCCAGGCAGCAACAATAGTAGACCAGCCCCGAGTTACCGGGTTGAAAAAGCACTCGACTGGCTTCACATAAACGCATATCAGCTCAAGCACACACTGCTGCTAAACCCCTGTCATCTTCACCCTTTCCACGGACTCCCGGACACTTCAAATCACACGACAGCAGTGGACAACTAGGAACTCTTCAGGCCTTATCGCAGGCCTGCTGCAACGTGCACCACCGGTTTCCGCAGCAGCGTTGCAGGAGAACAAACACAGCCGTAATCTCCAGAAGGAAAAGGATGCCTCAGTCTGACAATCCGTGCTTTTGGCAAAGGGGAACAGGTGCAGTCTTAGCTCACTCACTCACTCACCTGGGCAGAAATACTGGTTTCTGTGCCAGCTGTTCCCGGAGTTCAGGAGAGGTAGAATCAGAATTGACGTACCGATCGACATAGTCGGTCCAACGCTGAACCGGTTCACATAATAAAGAGAGGAAGGGGGAGGGATGTTAATGTATTCCCTTGAAACATAGCTCCTTGTCTTTTTCGTTCTGTCAAAAGAGAGCTTTCATATACCAGTGCCTACACCAGGGGTGGCCAAACTTGCTTAATGTAAGAGCCACGCAGAATAAACGTCAGAGGTTTGAGAGCCGCGAGACATCAACAAATATTACACCTTTTTATTGGGAAATACGCAAATTTGCTTTTAATTAACATTAAACGAGACGGCCAAAAATAAGAACCAAAGGGGTAAAAGCAGATATTGATAATGATATTTATCTGTCCAATGATATTTGTTTGCTAGTGATATTTAGCTTAACCAGCCGCCCTGCCAGGAGCCACACAATATGCGTGAAAGAGTCGCATGTGGCTCCCGAGTCAGTTTGGCCATCCCTGGCCTACACCTTTCTGGGCTATTCACTGTCTGCTTTGGCCTACACTTCTCCTGTTTGTCATCGTTGAAACATCGTTTTGTGCACAAGTACGGGAAGCCGTCTGACCAGACCTGAACTGAGGCTTGACTAAACTTAAAAGGTAAAGGTTCCCTTGCTCGAAAGCCAGTCGAGTCCGACTCGAGGGTTGCGGTGCTCATCGCCGTTTCAAAGCCGAAGAGCCAGCACTGTCCGAAGACGTTTCCGTAGTCATGTGGCCGGCATGACTAAACACCAAGGTGCATGGAACGCTGTTACCTTCCCACCAAAGTGGTACCTCTTTATCTACTTGCAATTTCTTGCTTTTGAACGGCTAGGTTGGCAGGAGCTGGAACTAGAGTCGGGAAAACTTACAGGAGTGGAAATCAGAGAAGGACTGCCACCGACAGAGCCCTCACCCCACAGGGTCTGGCAGAGTCCCCCCCCCCCATTCAATTCTCAGATGAGAGGCAAGGCAAGCTTACTGGTTTTTCTACTGATTTTGGTCACTGTTTATTATTTATGTTATTCATAGTCCGCCTTTCTCATTCTGACTCAAGGCGGATTACACGGAGTGAATCGGTACAATTGACAGAATGGGGTGTTCGAGAAACAATACAATAGTGTCAGGGCTGCAGAACCTGTCAGAAAGCCTAAAAACAGGACTGAAGCAAAGCACAAGTCTTAATGTGACACATTAAATGATACAAAGATTACTTAGGAGCAGGGGTCATTTCCTGCGGGAGCGCACAGGAGCAGGGCTCCGGCAGTAAAGAGCCTAGGGGGCGGGCACATGTAACAAGCCCCACCCCCTGCTCCCAGCAGCCCTCAGTCAGAGCAAGAAGCAGCCAGGTAAGCTGCAGAGCCCCCTCCCCCGGCCCAAAACAGTCCAGTGGCACCTTTAAGACCAACTTTTATTCAGGTACAAGCTCTCCCTCCCCTGTGAGGACAGATCTGCAAGTCCCCCCCAAAATAGCTAGCAATTCAAAACAGTCCAGTGGAGCAGTGGGTGTTGCCTTCTGACACACTTCCAGTGATGTCAAGGGGTGTGGCACATGCAAATAATTTATGCTAATGAGCTCCAAAATCGATACCTCCCATATGTACACTATCTTACTATCCCATGTCACTGCGGAGCTATTTTTTTTGCAAGACTGAACATTATACCTACAATGGTTTTGCAAGGGAGATTTCTGAAGAGGCCCTACACTGACAGAATTTGTCCTTGTGGCCCTAACAGGATTGATACATCCTTTCACGAACTTCTGGAATGCAGATTTTATGAGATTATGAGGGATTATTACATTAAGCCTTTTTTCAACCAATCATCCCCCTATACTCCGGAAGCCCGGGCTCTTTTGCTCCGTGATAAGGATTCCCAAGATCACTCTAGCAATCGCAAAATTTGTCTCAGTCCTTTTAGCCCTTGCATCTAGAAAATAAGGAATAAGTGTTTTCTGCTGCTCAAGATTCGTGAATCAATGAGCTTCTAAGGTTACCAAAGGAAAGGAAAGGACTAAGACTGGACTAATTACCTTAAATTTAGAAATTGTGCTCACAGGTGTTAAATCAAAACTGTAATTTCAAAAAAAGAAGAAAAAAGAAAGCGCACCATACGTTAGAACAAAACAGCTTTTACAATACGAATGGAGACCTGAAGACATACGTCTTTTAGGAATAGTACACAGAACTCTTTCTACAGCACATACATTCGATTCCTGAACATTTAAAAACCTCTCAACCTGGTGAGCCCACAGATGAAGCCGCTCTCACCTCGGCTTCGACAGGGTCGTCCGAGTTCTCCTCTTCCGTGTCCAGCAGCTCGATGGTTAACTGGACCTGGCCTCTGCTCTGGATGAACATCAGCTGCACAAGGGAACACAGGGGCCTCAAATGAGCACTTCAGACAACCCCAGAGTTGGGTACCCCTGCGCCAGCGATGCGGCATGAGAACCCAAACCCGGCCCGAGAACGTAAAGCCAGGAGACAAAGGAGGCTCTGATCTGCGCGGTGGTGGCTTGTTCTGGAGGGCTTTTCATGTTGATGTTCCTATCAGCTTTTTATGCAGCGATAACTGCTTTGGGGTCCTGCCAGGATCCGTACACAGCAGAATCGGCGAGTTATTGCCCAGACTCTTGTCGACTGGTGAACGTCTTAGTAGGGTAGCCGTGTTGGTCAGCAGTACAATAATAAAATATCAGAGTCGGAAGGGTCCATAAAGGCCATCTAGTCCAGCCCCCTGCTCAATGCAGGATCAGCCAAGAGCGTCCCTGACAGGTGTTTGTCCAGCCGCTGCTTGAAGACTGCCGGGGAGGGGGAGCTCACCACCTCCCTAGGCAGCTGATCCCACTGTCGCACAACTCCGACTGTCAAAATATTTTCCCTAAGGTCCAGCTGGTACCTTCCTGCCCTTAACTTAAACCCATTCTTGCGAGTCATCTCCTCTTTTGCCAACAGGGACAGCTCCCTGCCCTCATCTAAGTGACAGCCCTTCCAATACTTCGAGAGAGCAATCCTGTCCCCCCCCCCTCAACCTCCTCCGGACTGGACATTCCCCTCAGCCTTTCCTCACGGGGCTTGGTCTCCAGGCCCTTGATCACCCTCGTCGCTCTCCTCTGCACCCGCTCCGTTCTGCCCATGTCCTTTTTGAAGTGAGGCCTCCGCAACTGCGCACGACACTCCAGGTGCGGCCTGACCAATGCAGTGTACAGCGGGACTGTGGCATCTTGAGATTCGGAGCTGGATTCAAGTCCAGCGGCACCTTGGAGACAAATGAGATTTTCGGGGTATACGTTTCTGAGACGCAGAGCTTCGCGTCTGACAAAGGGAGCTCTGGCTCTTGAAAGCTCCCACCCCCCAAAATCTTGTTGGTCTCTGAGGTGCTCCTGGACACTCCAGTCTAGCTGTTCGGTAAACTTGGTGTGCTCCAGAAGCACAGATGCTTGGACAGTATCAAAAGACAACAACTTTCTCCCTTCCTATGGGACGCCCTATGCCATGCCTTCCTTCAATGCCCACGGGCAACGCCCTTCTTTGCTCCACCAGAGCGCCACACTGTCCGCATTACCTTGAAACAGTTCTCGTCTTGCATTAGGTGCTCGGCTTTGCGTTGGTATGCCGTCTCCACCAGGGCACGAGACGACTGCGTGGACAGGAGCCCCCCCGTCGCTCCGTTGGCGTTCTCCGTCAGGTACAGCTCCGTCACCTGCACGCAGATCTCGTCGCTCACTATGTGCTGGAGCTGTTGGAAGGAGGGGGGGAGCAGGGACAGGCGTTAGGGGCACTTCTGAAATCCAAAGGACCAAGTGCAAAATCCGCTTCGGCCCAGCTAAGCTGAAGAGAGAAATGACTATGGCATTAATTATGGTATGCCCGAGCCAAAAATATACCCGAAGAATACCTTATCAGTACTTTTCGGGTATATTTCGGCACCCCAAATATATTTATTTTGATTTGTATCTTGCCCTCCCCGCAAGCGGGCTCAGGGCGGGTGGCAACAATGGAAATACTGAATCATCAGAACAGTTTCACAGTAAACAGTTAAAATAGCAGATAATACAGTACTAGAGAATATATAAGGTTCCAGCCATACTGAATGATTAAAAACAACCAGGCCATAGAACCAGGAGTGACAATAGATCTCCTTAAAGGTGTTCCAAATCGAATTGGGGATCAGCAAGGGAGGCCAAATGATTGGGCGCCCACCGCCACCCCTTTCCCACCTCTGTATTTATCACCTCTCCATGAATTACTTAGCTCAGGCGGCTAATGACAGCTGAGGCAAGTACTGACACAGGAAAATCTGCATACCAATGCAAGGAGTGAGCCTTGAAAACAAAACAGATGGCAAGTTGACAGCAGCCAGTACAGAAACCAGGATCCAAGGCAATGCAATGAAAACAGATATTCCAAGGCAAGGGGGAACCAGGGCGAATGCTGAGAAAACATGGAGCGAATGCCAGACGCAGAATGGACCTCTGTCTCTTCACTCACTGCCACCACCTGGATTTTGTAGGAACTGCTTGCCGAGAGGAGCAGGGCTCCCAGCTTCCTTTCTTCCTTGCACTGTCATTGTAAGGACTCACCTCATGCCTGTGTCTCCCACTACCTAATACCTGGTTATCATGTGGACAGCTTACTGCCGTGTGTATCACTAGGGGAGTAGCCACTTGACAACTGACTACTCCTTCCCTTCTTCCTGGCACTCCTTTTACAATAGTGTGCCTAGAACAATGGGAAATCTAGGTGGTGCAATAGGTCTCACAATAGGTCTCGCAGGGCCCTGATCTCAGACAGGAGCATGTTGCACCAGGCTTGGGCCAGGGCAGAAAAAACCCTGGCCAAGGCTAAGTGGATGTCCTTTGGTCCGGAGATGACCAGCAAGGGTTGGTCTGCCGAGCGCAAGGCTCTCCAGGGGACATACTGGTATATGGGTTTTCTCATGAAAACCGGGGAAAAGTCTCGAGAAAATCTCAGTTATTTTTGGGGATTACCGGTAGATCTGAAAACAGCAGAGAGGTGGGAGCAGACTGCAGCTATTTCTCAGGCTTCTACTGCAGTCCCTTTAAAGTTTCAAAGGCATGCAGAAGACAGCCCCGGGATCAGCTGTGCCGGAGGGAGTAGACTGTTCCCGCCGGCTCGGCTTGGGGCCAGCTTCTCCTGCAGTGTGGTTTAAACCGTGCTGCAGGAGAAAGCCAAGCCAGGCCCTGGATCGAGCTGGCTTTAAGGGGGGGAAAGGTATTTTTCTTCTTGGGACTAGTAGACCCCCCAAAAATACCATAAGAAGAAGAAGAAGAAGAGATTAGATTTATACCCCGCCCTTCACTTGGAGTCTCAGAGTGGCTTACAAACTCCTTTCCCTTCCCCTCCCCACAACAGACACCCTGTGAGTGGGGGGGGCTGAGAGAGAGCTCTTGACAGAAACTGCTCTTTTTCAGGGACAGCTGTGCCAGAGCTTGTGACTGACCCAAGGTCACATCAGCAGGTGCAAGTGGAGGAGTGGGGAATCAAACCCGGTTCTCCCAGATTAGAGTCCGCACACTTAACCACTACACCAAACTGGCTCTCATACTGGTATTGGGATCCAGGATTTTTTAGTAATACTGGAATTTTTTCGAGTCCAATAGACCCAAACAGAAAAATACCGACTGAAGAATTGCACACCCCTCATCCGAACCCACTCCACCACATGGCTCTTCTACTTTCCCACTCCCAGAAGACAGGGAACAATGTGAAGGAAGTGAGTATCTGGAGAACAGGTCTACCAGCCACTGAACTCTGCAGAGGAAGAAAGGAACTCCGGGGAACAGGGCGATGCCTTTGTATTTAAACCATCTTCGTGCCATCTTTCCACTCAATCAGGGTCCCCAAGGCAGGGAGAGTTTTTGGCATCAAATATGCAACACCTTCCCAACTTGCTTCACAAAGTTCAATTCCCCTGAATATGTATTTGGGATAAATGCCCCAGTGACACCCAGTCTTCTCATATTTGGGGAGGCTGAAGGCCATTTCTAGAATCTCAAACATGTCACAACTCAGATTTTGATTATGCTTTGTGGCTCAATAGTAGAGCATCTGCGTGGCATACACAAGGTCCTAGGTTCAATCCCTGGCATTTCCAGTTAAAAGGACCAGGCTGTAGGTGACGTGAAAGGCCTCCACCTGAGACCCTGGAAAGCTGCAGCCAGTCTGAGTAGGCACTGGCAATACTGACTTTGATAGACCAAGGATCAGTTTAAGTTTATTGTTGTGGTCCTTAGACCAATCATACAAAAAGAAAGTACATATTTACAAGATTCCAAAAATTTTAAATATATCAAAAAATATGAAGGAGGAGGAGGAGGAGATTGGATTTATACCCTGCCCTTCACTACCCAAAGGAGTCTCAGAGCGGCTTACAATCTCCTTTCCCTTCCCACAACAGACACCCTGTGAGGTAGGTGGGGCTGAGAGAGCTCTTTCGAGAACTGCTCTTGAGAGAACAGCTCCGAGAGAACTTGGGACTGACCCAAGGTCACACCAGCAGCTGCACGTGGAGGAATGGGGAATCAAACTCGGTTCTCCCAGATTAGAGTCTGCACTCCTAACCACTACCCCAAACCGGCTCTAATCTAATGTCTAACTACCGTAACTACCTAATCTCGAACTACTATAAAATGTCCGTAACCTGAGTATCGCCATACAGAAACTGGCTACTTGGTAGGTAATCTTTGGATTTCCATCAGACAGAAGAAATTCAAGTCTAGCTTTTTCAGAAAAGCCCAATTCTTTTTCAATCAACGGGGTGATGATCTCATCACGCGCCACCTTATAATACGGGCATATATGAAAATTCAAGTCTAGATTTTTCAGAAAGGCCCAATTTTTTTCAATCAACGGGGTGATGCTCTCATTACGCGTCACCTTATAATACGGGCATATATGAAAAAAACATATGCTCTGTAGTCTCAGCCTCCCTTAACAGGCAGGTACAAAGCCTTTCTGTGAAAGGAATATTCTTGTATTTTCCTTCAAGTACAGCAGAAGGGAGGACAGAGCACTTAGCCAGAGTGAAGGCTCTTCTAAACCCTTTTACTTCCAGAGAGAGAATGAGCTCCCGGAAGAGATCAGGGCCCTGCGGGACTCTTTTACAGTTCTGCAGGGCCTGCAAGACGGAGCTCTTCCCCCAGGCCTTTGATCAAGGAGCCGCATCAAACATCTGAAGCATGACCCCTGTGCCCTAGCCTTACCACCTACAGCCTGTGCCCACTGCACAAAAAGTTAAGCTGGCTTGAAAATACCAACATGACTGTTATTGTCACCTTAAGTAGCACTATTAATTCGAGATCTACTGTTCTAGCCCTTGATTAGATCACTGTAACTGAATATGATTGTTTTATGACTGATTTTAATTGTATTTATACGTGGAATTTTATGTAAGCCGCCCTGAGCCTGCCTTGGTGGGGAAGGCGGGGTATAAACTGAATAAATAAATAAAAAACAATTTGTCGGTTCCGCAGTGTTTTTAATGTGCCAAGGAACTGAAGGCAGCTTCATGCGTTCGTGTGCGTTCACGATCAGCTGTCTCCAAGGCTCCCGTTCCCCCCATCTCTTCCCGCACAACGGAATGCTCACCTGTCGAACAATGCTTTGAATCAGCTTGTCCATGGTGAAGGCAATGTAGGCGTGGATGGTGAACATCTCACGGAGAGAGTCCTCGTACTGAGACGAGTCCATGTTACCGTCCAGTAAGTTCCGCACCATCTCCAGGAACGCGGGGTAATAGTCTTCCACTTCGATATCCACTAGGGCGGGAAAGGAAAAGTGGGCCATGAAATGTAACCTCGAACCCGAGAGCCTCTTCGTCCTAGATAACTTTCTCTCTCCGCCCCCCACCCCCAGCAGTGAGAAGCCAAGACCAACAAATCACACAAAGCTGGTCAAGACAGGGAAATAACGATGCAAAAGGATAAAATACAAAATAAGGAAGATGGTAAACATGAGCTGGCATTGGTATTTATGGCAAGTCATGAATCAATACATGCAAATGACAGTAAATATATGTATGGAGATGATACAACTTTTTAACGCCTGCCTCTGTGGAGTCTTCACAAAGGAATGAGGAAGTTGCGTCAATCTGGGAAGGCGGCAGGGGGGTTGTAAAATAAGTAAGGAAGGAAAGGAGATACCGGGGATGAGATGTCACAAGACAGCCATCAGTCGCTGAGCTTTTCTGTGCTCTCGCTGCATGCTGACGGTACAATCTGTGCAAACGAGACCTCACCTGCGGCTGACCCGTTAACTGTATCTGTGCTGCACAGAGGCAAGACATGCTGCATACAGAAAAGCTAGGTGAGTCCTTTCTCCCTGCTCCCACTCATCCCAACTGTGTTCAGTTTCTGGCTGACACGAGGCCTAGGAATGGCTTGTGCATCCAGAAAGCCGCCGAGCTGGAAAGCTCTTGACAAAAGCCCAAATGCTTACATTCCAGCACAGGATAAGAAACCGCAAGTCAGGTGAGGAAGCGATGTTTGGGAGTTCGTGATACACCCATTTCAAACCGCGGACCCTTGTTTCACCCTGTGGATATTCCCTGTTCTGTCCCAGCACACAAGTATTTTGAAACTGGGAATACCCACATTTCTGTGCTTAAGACGATGACGAAGAGATTGGATTTATGCCTCGCCCTTCACTCAGGGTGGTTTACAATCTCCTTTCCTTTCCCCTCCCCACAACAGACACCCTGTGAGATAGGTGGGGCTGAGAGAGCTCACTCGAGGACTGCTCTTGAGAGAACAGCTCTGAGAGACTGGCCCAAGGTCACTCCAGCAGCTGCATGTGGAAGGGTGGGGAAATCAAACCCGGTTCTTCCAGATTAGAGTCTGCGTTCTTAACCACTACACCAAGCTGGCTCTCTCAGAATTAGGGAGGTGCACCACCACTTCTAGAGCTATTCGCAGACCATAATGTAAATTACAATTATGCTTTTCCTCCCTGCCAGGCGCCCAGAACAGCTCACATCCGCCTCTTCACTTCCATTTCCTCCTCACAACAACACCGTGATGTAGGTTAGGCCGAGAGCATGTGACCGGCCCAAAGTCGCCCAGCCAGCTTCTGTGAAAGAGTGGGGTTTCAAACCCGAGCCTCCCAGACCCTAAGTCGGATACTCTAACCCAGGGTTCCCAAATCTTTTTGAGCCTGTGGACACCTTTGGAATTTTGGCACAGGAGGGTGGGCGCAATGGCAAAACGGCAGCCATGAGAGGCAAAGCCAACCACAAAATGTCAGGCAGTGAGGTCATGTATCACCCCAACACTAACTCTTTTAACATGTCAAGCAAGTGTTTAACAGGGAACCTTTTAAGATGAACATGTTGTTTTAAACTATTTTCTTGCATACGCCTTAAGTGACATGCTGAAGATCCTTATGCCAAAGAGGCAGCTGCTGCCAAAAGCAACTTTTTTTAAAAGAAGAAGAGATCGGATTTATACCCCGCCCTTCACTAACCACAGGAGTCTCAGAGGGGCTGACAATCTCCTTTTCCTTCCCCCTCCCCACAACAGACACCCTGTGAGGTCGGTGGGGCTGAGAGAGCTCACTCGAGGACGGCTCTTGAGAGAACGGCTCTGAGAGAACTTGTAACTGACCCAAGGTCACCCAGCTGGCTGCATGTGGAAGACTGGGGAATCAAACCCGGTTCTCCCAGATTAGAGTCCGGGCTCCTAACCGCGACACCAAACTGGCCCCCTTAAAAAAATCTGCACAGCCAATGAGATCTCCAACGTTCAATGAACCGCCTGCTCGGCAAGAGCTTCACCTGACCCCACCCACTTCCTCAAAACACTTCGCAGATGCCAGAAAAGGTGTCAGCGGGTGTTACGGTCAATGCTCCCCTCTAAGCTGCGGAGTCTTGTGAGCAAAAATTCTACTTCGTGAGCCACCGGCATTAAAGTGGTGAGCGAGCGATTGGGCTACTGCATAAATTAGTTTGCTCTGGAGCCCCTCCTTCCTTAGCTGAGACAGAAATCTGTGAGCCCGGAGGCTAAGAAACTGTGAGCTGGCTCCCACTAACTCAGCTTAAAGGGAACACTGCTAGTGGGTGTGTTGCTTTCTTGGCAGAGAAAAAAAAATGCTAAAGAACACCCAGTTTCAAGGACCTGAGATCATAGGTGAAGTCCACAGCTATACAGATAACACCCACCAATCACAAATGTGCTGACAATATTCCCATGTCGGCCATATATGGAAGTGACCCACCAAAGTATGACAGTGCTACTCCCTCCCCCAGAGCTGAACGTGCACTTACTGGGCTCCTTCAACCGCAAGTGGATGGCCGGGCTGTCGCTCTTGTCCCGCTTGACCCCCAGCACTTCCCGCTCCCACTCTCGTTCCCGGTTCTCCTCCTCGATCTGCCGTTCGGCCTGGGCGTAGATCCGCAGCAGCCGCAGGCACAGGATCTGGTGGAGGCGCTGGAAGATGTACCAGTTGTTGTTGACGTAGAAGAGGTTGTAGACCTCGTCCATCCCGCGCAGCTTCTGGGCCGCCATGCTGCTGAAGAGCAGCTTGGCCTTGGGGGGGCTGCCCCCCACCCCGTTGTGCTTCTTCACGGCCCCGGAGCCCTCGTCCACGTCCATCTCCTCCTCTTCCTCCTCCTCCACGTCGGAGAGCTCGCCCCGCTGGGCGAACAGCAGGTCCGGGATGAAGTGGTACATGATCTGCTTGATCTTGTACTTGTCCTCCTTCTGGATGCCTGTCTGCCGCTTGACGTGGTGGATGATCAGAGAGGCGGCGTCATCCAGGATCTGCTTGTCCTCGTAGGCCAGCGACAGGTGAGGGCCGGTGTTGTCCTCGGAACTCTGCTCCTGCCTCTGCAGTCGGAAGGGCGAGAGTGTGAAAAATCAGCAGTGGCTGAACATGGCCTGACTCAAACAGGACAACGGTATCTTGTTCCAGGACACTGAAAGGCTGGACAACACATCCAATTACCATGTCAGACTACACAGGGAAGCCCTTGAAATTCATAAACATAAACCCGATTTCAACAGGAAAGGAGAGAGTTTAAAAATAAATAGGGCATGGTTTTCTGTCCTGAAAAACACAAAAAGGCTCTATGTCTTACGATAGCGTCACAGAGGAGATTAGAATTTCAACAGCCAATCCATATGCAAAAGAACCTCCTCAGGAAAGCTCCTCCTAATTAGTTCATAGCCTCGGGAACTCCTACAAGATTTTATTTATTGATTGATTATCCAATTTATACCCCTCCCTCCCCGCAAAACAGGCTCAGGGTGGCTTCCAAATGCCATAAATACAGACTAAAAACATACAAGAATTAAAACAAAACAGTTAAAAACAGTACAAAGCAAAGTGCTGGCAGCAGTTAAAGATTCACTTAGACGGCGTACTTTCAAGCGGACTTCCAACTATCTGAAAGTGCTTAGATGTTCTTCTGCTCATCAACTTTTATGGCAGCTGCTCGATGGTAAAGTTATGGGCCGGGTGCTACAGCGGCGGCGGCCCCTAATGAAATGACTCAGCCCTACCCCATCTTCCTGAATAGAGATAAATTACCTGCCTACCATTTTGCTTCTCACCTTGACACAGAGAGTACTCCCTCTGTCTGTGTTATGCCTCTGAGGATGCCAGTCACAGCTGCTGGCAAAACGTCAGGTCCTGCAATGCCAAGACCACGGCTACACAACCCGGAAAATTCACAACAACTAGTGTGAAATCCCTCTCTCCTGAATTTCCTCTCCCCTATTGAGAGCGGGTAGAAGCCTCCATGGACACAGAAAGTGGCACAATGCAAGCGCCAATGTTCTATGTGAGAAAGGTGCGCAGATGTTTGTATAACTTTTTACTGTACGTTCTAGATCATATCAAGCCTAGAAGGCTGATTAAAAGGGAGGCTATTGTACTTTAAAATCATAAAAAGCCCAGTAGCACCTTTAAGACTAACATACTTTATTGTAGCATAAGCTTTCGAGAAACACAGCTCTCTTCGTCAGATGTTTCTCAAACGCTTATGCTACGGTAAATTTTGTTAGTCTTAAAGGTGCTACTGGGCTTTTTACTATTTTGCATACTTTATTGTAGCATAAGCTTTCGAGAAACACAGCTCTCTTCGTCAGATCTTTCTCAAACGCTTATGCTACGGTAAATTTTGTTAGTCTTAAAGGTGCTACTGGGCTTTTTACTATTTTGTGACAACAGACTAACACGGCTAACTCCTCTGGATCTACTGTACTTCAGTCACATTATGAGAAGACTAGAAGAGACAATCAGGGCTTTTTTTTGTAGAAAAAGCCCAGCAGGAACTCATTAGCATAATAGGCCACATCCTGACAGCACAGCTCATTAGCATATTAGGTCGCAGCCCCCTGTTGCCAGAAGTGTGGTCATCCTGCCACACCCACCTTTTGCTTCTTATTCTGTTTACCTTCTTTGTTGTCAAAACCCAGGGCCTTTTTTTGTAGCACACGCCTAGTGTAGCCAATCCTAATGAGTTTCTGCTGTTGGGTGTGGCCTATTATGCTAATGAGTTCCTGCTGGGTGTGGCCAACTCAGAAGCCAGCTGGAACTCCGTTCCTGTGTGTTCCTGCCCAAAAATAGCCCTGGAGACAATGGTGTTAGAAAATAACGCTAGACGATAACAACCACGCAAGGAAAAATTGAAGGCAGTAGGAAAAGAGGAAGATGCAACATGATATTTTGGAGGTCATTTATTCAAAGGATTACCATAAACTGGAAGCAACTTCATGGCACTTTCCACCACCATACCTATAAGTGGGTTCCAGATCAAATCAAACCTGAACATTACCCTAGAAGCCAAAATGACAAAACCAAGGCTTTGGTCACATTATGAGAAGACAGGAGTCACTGGAAAAGAGAGTAGAAAAGAACAAGAGTCCAGTAGCACCTTAAAGACTAACAAAATTTGTGTCAGGATAGGAGCTTTTGTGAGTCACTGCTCACTTCTTTTCTGAAGAAGTGAGCAGTGACTCTGAAAAGCTCCTATCCTGACACAAATTTTGTTAGTCTTTAAGGTGCTACTGGACTCTTGCTCTTTTCTACTGCTACAGACAGGCTGACACGGCGACCCATCTCGATCTACCTCCGTGGAAAAGACAATAATGCTTGGAAAAGTTGAGGGCATCAGGAAAAGGGAAAGACCCACATGAGATGGATGGACTCCATCAAGGAAGCTGCGGCCTTCCGGTTGCAAGACTTGACTCAGCAGTTAACAACAGGACGTTTTGGAGGTCATTAATTCATAGGGCTGCCAATCAATCAGGAGTGAGTTTACGGCACTTTCCACCACCTGAGCTTTCCCTAGAATCTAAAATCAAACCTGAGGTTTCCCTAGAAGCTAAAATGACTAAACTGAGGCTATTGCACTTTGGTCACATTGTGAGAAGATTAGAGTCACTGGGAAAAACAACCATGCTAGAAAAAGGTGAAGGCGGCAGGAAAAGAAGACCCAGTGTGAGATCGACTGACTAGATGGCCATCTGACGGCAAGGTCGATCCTGTGAACTTCGGCAGATCATGAGAGGGAGGGCAGGAAAGATTGCATCAGTGCTTAGTTCTCCTGGCCCTTCTTTATACGCCCAGGGAAATGCTGATCGCCACTTTGGGGACAGGAAGCAATTGTTCTCCAGGCCAGTTAGGCCAGGGAACCTGGAGATATTTTTTTTGTCATCTTCTGGGCCTGGAACAGCGGTCACTGGGGGTGTGGAGGGGGACGTATTTGAGAATTCCCTGCATTGTGCAGGGGGTTGGACTAGATGACCCTGGAGGTCCCTCCCAACTCTTATGATTCTATGACTCCATCAAGGAGGTGACGGCCCTCGGTTTGCAAGACCTGAGCAAAGTTGTTAATGAGAGGACGTTTTGAAAGGCATTCATTCATAGGGTTGCCAGAAGGAGACGGAGAAGAAGAGGAGGAGGAGGAGATTGGATTTATATCCCACCCTTCACTTGGAGTCTCAAAGTGGCTTACAAACTCCTTTCTCTTCCCCTCCCCACAACAGACACCTTGTGAGGTAGGTGGGGCTCAGAGAGCTCTTTCCAGAAACTGCCCTTGAGAGAACAGCTCTGACAGAACGATGGCTTGCCCAAGGTCATCCAGCAGCTGCAAGTGGAGGAGTGGGGAATCAAACCTGGTTCTCCCAAGTTAGAGTCTGCGCACTTAATCGCTACACCAAACTGGCTCTCAAGTCTTGGTAGAGACTCAACAGCACTAAACACACACGTATAAACATCTGAGCTTAACAAGTGCATTTCGCTACATGGGACAAAAGAAAATACTGGAGCAGAGAGAGAGGCCCCCGACCTCTCAACCTACCTCGTCATAAATACCCTCGATCTCACTGAGCAGGCTCTTTGACCGTAAGACCTTGGTATCGTTCTGCTTGAAGTTGATCCCTTGGTGGTCGAGAGATTTCAGGTAGTACTTCTCGTTCTGTTCCCGCCATACTTTGTTGAATCCTCTCTGGGCTTCTCGCCACTCCTCCTCTTTCATTTTTAACCTTAGCGAGAAAAAGACAGAGAGAAAGAGGGGCTTTGGAGGACTGTGCTAATGGGGGGGCCTTGACGTCGAAAGAAAGAAACAGGAAAACCACCGCTTTCACACGGAGTCACAGCCTCCGCATGGCCGGGACGCATCCGACAAACCTCGGAAGTCTTTAACGGAACAGACGGAATTATTGTATGACGCTGATGCTCAGGAAGCTGTGTTCTGATATTCTTGCAGAGCACTCCATGAATAATGCCTGTGTTACAGCGATCTGGGTAATTAGTTGTGATTTTATGGATTTTGTAAGCTGCGTCCAAGACCGGCTCTAGTGGAAGCGGTCTTCTCAACCGCTGCCAATCTTGGCCCCTCCCAATATGAAGCCACGTAACAATTTCCACCTGACAAGCTTCTTTTTGACACATGCAGGGCGAGTTCAGATGGGCCATTTGAGCCAGTATACGTGCCGGTTAGAAACAGACGATTTACGCACGAGCACACAGCCTAACCCTAACCCCCTTTAAACCGGAGTATTTTGCTACCAGGTCCCCAAGTGGTGTTTTCCTGGTGCTCTGGTTCTAGTCGCATTTTCCTGACATGTGATCGCACCTCCGCCGGTGTAGAGCCACTTCCGCTCGGAAACCCGAGGCTTCCGCTTTTCGTCCACCATTTTATTTTAGCGTCGGCCATATGCGCTTGGGCGAAGCTTCGCCCTGGTGTTAATAAAACAAATTAAAAAACGGTGCTTAGTTTTAGGCTTTAGACGAGTCCGGGATCTCACGGAGGCCAGTTTCATTGTAAAAGTTTAAAGGGAAGTGTTCGCTTCAGGGCATGCTTTTGGCATGAAGATTTCAATTATATGGATGGGTGCCTATGCACATGCACAAACAGTGTGTGTGTGGGGGGAACCGCCGACGTGCGCTGCTGCGCACCTGTAGTGTGGACGTCCGGGAGCAATGTGCTGCATGGTGAGGGAGGTAAGTGTGATTGCGCTTGTCCCGGATCAAATATAATCCGATTGGAACCAGAGCAGTTTAAACCACTTCGGCACGCCATCTGACCGCACCCATAGACGTCTGTGGCAGCAATGCTCACTTTTATCGTGAATCTCCTGGCCCTTTCTTACATGCACAGGGAAATGCCAAGCGCCGCTTTGGGGTCAAGAAGGAATTTCCCTCTGAGCCAGTGTTAAATGGTGTTAATATGTACAACACCAGATTGGCCCAGGGATGCTGGAGGTTTTTTGCCTTCCTCTGGCCTCAGAGCAGGGATCACTGGGGGGGGGGGGGACAGCGGGGATTCTGCATTGGGGAGGGTTGGACTAGATGACCTCTGGGATCACTTCCAGCTCTGTGTTTCTCCTGCAATTCAAGGCTAGATAAAAGGGTTTCAAGTAAGACTCCCGCAGCATTGTAAACTCCCCCCACCCGAAATAATCCTCAGACAAACTTCAAGTACTTGAAGGGCTGTCATATAGAGTTGTTTCCTGTTGCCCAAGAAGGTCAGACCAGAACCAATGGGTTGAAATTAAATCAGAAGAGTTTTCGGCTAAACATTAGGAAGAACTTCCTGACAGACAGAGCAGTTCCTCAGTGGAACAGGCTTCTTCAGGAGGTGGTGGGCACTAGAGGCTAGATGGCCATCTGACAGCAATGCTGATTTTGTGCGTGACAGCAATGCTGATCCTGTGAACTTAGGCAGATCACGAGAGGGGAGGGGCAGGAAGGGTTGCCTCAGTGGCCCTTTCTTACACAGCCAGGGAAATGCTGATTGCCACTTTGGGGTCAGGAAGCAATTTTTCTGCAGGCTAGTTTGGCCAGGGATCCTGATGGGGTTTGCTTTTTTTTTTGTTTGGCCCCCTCCTGGGCATGGAACAGGGGTCACTGGGGGTATATTTGTGAATTTCCTGCATTGTGTAGGAGGCTGGACTAGATGACCCTGGGGGGTCCCCTTCCAACTCTTATGATTCTATGAAACAATCCGTTTCCCCACAACAGATATTTAGCTAATACGTTCACATGAGCTGTCGAATTCTGTAGTTACCAGGTCAACAGCGCTGGCTTTCCCAAGGACCAAAGCACTGCTGGGGAATCCCACGAGCGAGGGAAGGAGGCATCCGCCCGAATGTCTGCATGTTACCTTTTCAGCACGATAGGGACTGCGACGGCTGGATTCTTCCTGAGCCCATCGATGATGTCGGCCGCCTTATCGGCGTATATCCTCTGCAGCGCCTTGCGGTGGATCACTTCCGATGAGCCCCCCAGAGTGTTGTCCAGCCGGAATTTGGCTTGCTCCTCCGCCGATAAGCGGGAGAGTTTCTTCTGTATCGTCTCGAGGACCCGGATGGTTGCCAGGTTGGTCTCCAAGACAACGTCCAGCTGAAACGGGAAAGCCTGCATTAGCAGAGGCTTGTAAGTTACAACTGAAAGCTCTGTTTGGAAAAGGATACCGTTTCCGGGACGCATGAGGGAGTGGACTGGAAGGCTCACGTTTAGCCCAAAGAGCTTTGCCTCTATTTTTGTAACGCTGTGGAGAGCAATGTTAGGAATCAAGCGTGACCAAAGCCTACCCAACTGAAAAGGAGAAGACGTGCTTTGGACTGGAAGCACATGGTGCTTGGGATGGTGGAAATTATAAACTAGGTAGGGAGGGATATGAAATCGCTAGGAAATCAATTTCCCAACCAGGGAAAGGAAAACAAAGGATCAAGCACCCACCTGCAGCTGAAGACTTTCACTCTTAGGAAATGCCCATAGTTACGTGAGAAGTTTTTCAGAAGGCCACGGGAGAGGGGAAGCCTAGGCTGTGTCCAGATTACCTGGTAATATCAATACTCCATATTGGTATTGGTCAGGCCGCACCTGGAGTATTGTGTGCAGTTCTGGAGGCCTCACTTCAAAAAGGATGTGGACAGAATGGAGCGGGGTGCAGAGGAGAGCCACTAGGATGATCAAGGGCCTGGAGACCGAGCCCTGTGAGGAAAGGCTGAGGGACTTGGGGATGTTCAGTCTGGAGAAGAGGAGGTTGAGGAGGGACAGGATTGCTCTCTTGAAGTATCTGAAGGGCTGTCACTTGGAGGAGGGCAGGGAGCTGTTCTTGTTGGCAGCAGAGGACAGAACTCGCAAGGATGGGTTTAAATTAAGGGTGGGAAGGAACCAGCTGGATCTCAGGGAGTTGTGCCACAGTGGAATCAGCTGCCTGGGGAGGCGGTGAGCTCCGCCTCCCTGGCAGTCTTCAAGCAGCAGCTGGACAAAGACTTCTCAGGGATGCTCTGGGCTGATCCTGCATTGAGCAGGGGGCTAGACTAGATGGCCCGTATGGCCCCTTCCAACACTGTGATTCTATGATGCTATATAGCGCTTTTAAGTATCTGAAGCCCTGACCTAGATGGCTTAGGCTAGCCCGATCTTGTCGGCTCTCAGAAGCTAAGCAGGGTCAGCCCTGGTTAGTACTTGGATGGGAGACCGCCAAGGAAGTCTGGAGTCTCTACGCAGAGGCAGGCGATGGCAAACCGGCTCTGAGCGTCTCTTGCCTTCAAAACCCCATGGGGTCGCTGTCAGTCAGCGGCGACTTGACGGCAGCTTCCACCACCACCAAGAGTCTGAAGCGTTTCATAGGCATTATCTCTAGTTCTTACAACAGTCATATAAGGTAGGCAAGTGTTCTCACCAACGCTCCCTCTAAGCTGTGGGGTCTTGTGAGCAACGATTCTACTTTGTGAGCTACCGGCATTAAAGTTGTGAGCGAGCAGTTTGGCTGCTGCATAAATCGGTTTGCTCTGGAGCCCTCCTTCCTGAGCTGAGACAAAAATGCGTGAGCTGGAGGCTAAAAAAACGTGATCTGGCTCACACTAACTCAGCTTAGAGGGAACACTGATTCTCACTATCCCCATTTTACAAAGCGAGAGGAGGAGGAGGAGGATGAAAAAAAAGCTGAAGGGGCTGGATAAGGCCGACTAGAGAGCCCAGAGGCTGAAGCTGAACTGGACAGAGACTTCTCTTCCCACGTTACACCAGACCCCCCCCCCCCAAGCTACCCGGTTGCCACTGTCGCCGCCGGTCAATCAACCTGGAGCAACCCAAGCAGCGCTTGTCATTCGGCTACCTCAAACCGTTCGTCCTCGCATCGGTAGATGTGCTCTTCGTACTGAGTCTTCTTGGAGCTGACGAAGGTGGAATCTTCAGACCACGAAGGAAAGGAGACCCAGGTGTCGTTCAGGACCTTTGGCGGAGAGAAGGAAGTCATGTTCATTAGCGATCCACACTCCCAAGACGTTTCTTTCATCGTGACTGAGAGAATGTATAGCATCCTACCCACCCCCCGATCTGCACTGCTCAAATTCTACATGGCAGAAATCAGGCTTCACTGTGAGATGGGATGCTTGTTCACCCCACAGACAGAGACCTGGAGCAGAGTCGTTAATTTTCTTCAAGCTTTCGTCCTGCCTACTCGCGTTCCGAGAGTCCGGGTGCTCTAGAGGCTTCTAGGAACCTCTCTCCAATTGCCCTGACCCTGAAGGAGGACTTACCTCCTTACACAATGGGGTCCGGCCGGTGCACTTGGGTTGCTGGTAGCTCTTTGGCAAGGCCCGGTAGCTGGAGCCCAGCCTCTTGCAAGAGGCGTAGTCTATCTCCATCGCTATTCCCTCCGTCGCCCGCTCCTTGGGAAAGGACTCCAGGTGCGCCGATTCTTTGTAGCCCAGGAAGTTCTTGAACCAGGTGAACAGCTCCGGGAATTTCCTGGGGGGGAAAAAGGGTGAAAGAGAACAGTATTATTCCCCATGGTAAAGAAACTGGTTCCCCAGATTTCTTGTTCTGATTTGAAGTTTGGTTCAGGCTCGTGTGGCGGCCTGCTTGTGGGTTAACAGAGTCCCGAAACGACATTGCCAAGGCCAGAGCGAGCTGACCTTGTGCGTTTGTAGATAACACCCAGCTGCAGAGGGGAGTTGAGAGCCTAACACCGGCTCCCAATTAGCTACATTCCATTCAACTGAGGTTCGTGATTTGCACCTGTGGGAAAGGGCCGAGATAGGTTTTGTTACCTTTCTCCCTGGTCAGAGCATTTCCCTGGTCAGACCACCTTAGTTCATCGGCCTAGCCACTGGCTTTACATCACCACCTAGGGGATTCTATTGGCCTGAGACCACGAGGGTCCCTGAACCATACAGACGTAAGTTTTTAGTTTACTCCCAGCCTGATGGTAACTACCTGAGGTCTCGAACAAAGTTAGAGTCCAGTGTAATTCTCTGTTCTGGGGCCAAGAAAACTACTCTACACAGCCAAGATGCTTCACAGTTTGCCTCTGTGCTAGAAAAGAGATGGATGGGATCTAATGACTGGATTCTCACAATTCGGGGTACGTCAATCACCAGTTCTTTTTTTAATTTATTTAAAGATTTTTATTGTTTTTAGACAAAAGGTTAACAGTAAAATTGAGAACAGTGTAAAATTATGCTTAAATACACACATCTTAACATATGTAAATTTTGCATATCTTCAAGTAATTATGTTCAGAACGGCTTCTTTTTAGAGCTTTGGACAACTTACATCGTAACAAACCTCAAACCTCCAGTTCTGACATATTACCTATGTCGTTTTTTCCCCGAGTGAACCCAAATGGCTGATGATAACCAGAAACCAAAATTATCATCCTTTTTAACTGTTAAAAAACAATCTCCCCTATTTTGCTAATTTAACAAGCCACCCTCTATATATACAACTATGATCTGTAATTCCGTTTCACTGTCTGACGGAGTGTGCCTTGCACACGAAAGCTCACACCTTGAATAAAACTTCGTTGGGTCTTCGAGGTGCCCCACCGGACTCTTAACTTTGTTCGGCTGCTTCTGACCAACACGGCTGACCACCCTGATCTATTTACTTATTTACTTATTTAATTCGACTTCTATCCCGCCCTCCCCTCATGGCAGGCTCAGGGCGGGTTACACCAAATCGATTAAAAAAATACAATATACACAGTTAATACAGTCAGGGCTATTTTGGGGCAGGAACGCACAGGAACGGAGTTCCGGCTGGCTCCCAAGCTGGCCACGCCCAGCAGGAAGTCATTAGCATAATAGGCCACACCCAACAGCAGAAACTCATTCGGATTGGCTACAATTAGGGGTGTGTGGCCTGGGTTCTGACAACAAACAAGGTAAAGAGAATAAGAAGCAAACGGTGGGTGTGGCTGGATGACCACACTTCTGGTAACATGGGGGTGTGGCCTAATATGCAAATGAGCTGTGCTGTCAGGGGTGTGGCCTAATGTGCTAACGAGTTCCTGCTGTTGGGTATGGCCTATTATGCTAATGAGTTCCTGCTGGGCTTTTTCTACAAAAAAAAGCCCTGAATACAGTTAACCAAAGATCTCGACAGGCGGTCACTATTTTGCTGACTGCAGCTGTCTTGAATGCTTGCTTGTGCGGGCCAGACAGCTTCTGGCCAATGTTCCCTCTAAGCTGTGGAAACTTGTGAGCAAAAATTCTACTTTGGAAGCTACTGGCATTAAACTTGTGAGTGAGTGGTTTGGCTACTGTATAAATTAGTCTGCTCTGGAGCCATCCTTCCTGAGCTAAGCCAAAAATGTGTGAGCCGGAGGCTAAAAAACTGAGCTGGCTCGCACTAACTCAGCTTAGAAGGAACACTGCTTCTGGCCTGTGCTAAACTCTGGAGACACTGTGGACTGCTGGGCGCCTTCAACTGAGAATGGTAAAGCCTGATAACTGGAAACAATGTATTACTGTTTCAGTTAGTTCTTAAGATTCTCCCTTTCTTGTTTTCCCCCTCACTGTTCATGTTCATTTTGAAACATTCTTGCATCTTAATAAATAAATAAATACATTTTTACTTTCCTGGTTAGTTGCTTTCAACTGACCTCAGTCTGAACCCAGAGTCTTAGACTGGGTGACCGCCTGCCAAGCAATGTTCCCTCTAAGCTGTGGAGTCTTGTGAGCAAAAATTCTACTTTGTGAGCCACTGGCATTAAAGTTGTGAGCGACCGATTTGGCTACTGCATAAGTTACTTTGCTCTGGTGCCATCCTTCCTGAGCTAAGACAAAAATGTGTGAGCCGCAGGCTAAAAAACTGTGAGCTGGCTCACACTAACTCAGCTTAGAGGGAACACTGCTGCCAAGCTAACTGCTTTTGTGGGAAACTCGTCCTGCAAGTCTACCTTGCGGGGCTGACTTTTCTGTTTAGTCCTGGAAAGGTTGGAAGCTTGCCCTCTGGCTTCCAATCGTTGGGATAGTCTAAAGGGCTGGTGGCGACATACCAGACTGGTGTGTGAGGAGTCACATCCCGGGGCTTTGTAACGTTGTGTCTTGGCCCAGGATTGGACTGGGAACCTTTCACACCCACGTTAGATGCCGACGAGAGGGCCGCTCGCCAAAAGACTTTGAAATGGACTGCTAGCAAGGGCCGTCTTCCCTGAACAGATTCAACCTCCGTGCAGTGCCACAAGTTGCAAATATGAGACATACGAAAGCCGAAATGTCCTGATGACCAAAGCTTTCACAAATTCACTGCTGTGGCCACAGTAGCTGTCACCTGCCTAAGAAACGGTGCCTTTTGCAAACAGGGGATGGAGGGCTACGCAGCCCAAGTAGAGAGTAATGCTGCCACCTCTGAAGTACACACCAGGAAAGAAATGGATCCATTAATTTATCTCCCCCCCCTTGCTTACCCCAAAAACGGAGAAACCAGCTGTACCAGCTCAGCTCGCGATATCACCTCCTGATTGAAAATGACCAGACAACGGAGAAAGTTCTCGTAGGCTTCCGTGCTGCGCAGCGCCTTGCGCACCTGCACCAAACAAGTCAGGAAAGAAAAGATGGTTAGCAACGAATCAAGAACGAAAAGGGATTCAACCGCCTTTCTAGCACCGTGTAAACATGAGACAGCCCGCGTGGTGTAGGACTTTCAGTGAGGATTCAAGGAGGGCTGATGTCTCCGTAAATGCGGAGAAGCTCTGCAGCCAAAACCGTCGCTCAGAAGCCATAATTCTGGCTGAGGAATTTCTCCAGATCAAAGAGAGGTCATGGAAATAACCCACTTGGCCTCCAGAGTCGAAACGGAGGTTTCTGCAATTAGCCCGGGAGTCTGAGCACCCAGAGGCTGGGAAAACTTCGCTCTTAGTCGTGGTGGACACTGAGCCTTACCAATCCTCATTTCTTAACTTCTAAAGGAAACAATTCACATCACAGACAAAGAGAGGTTTTCTCTACAACAAAGACAGCCGGTGAAGAGGACTGGACCCAGGTTCAAATCCCCGCTCTGCCACAGAAACTCGCTGGGTGACCCTGGACCAGTTACACCCTCTCAGCCTAACCCCGCCCCACAGGGTTGTTGTGAGCACAAAATGGAGGAGAGGAGAAGGATGTAAGCGGATTTGGGTCACAATTGGGGGAGAAAGGTGGGGCACAAAGGAACTAAATACATAATTAATAAATACTGTGAGTACTTCAGCTGTCATTCTGACCTAATGGCCTGGATGCGGGGGGTGAAGGAGGGTTTATGCATTGCAGAAACGGAGCGGGAGGTACGCGCAGACACACATGGCGCATCATTGTAGGAGCCCCGTGGGTGAAGGCAGGATTAAGCATTATCGGAGCTTCCCGTCCTCCCATGTAAATGAATGGAAGCCACTCTCTTTTGTGATAAGAAAGAAAAGATAGTTGGGGAATGGGACGTGGCTCATCGGTAGAACATCTGCTCGGTATTCAGAACATCCCAGGTCCGATCCCCGGCATCTCTGGTCAGAGGGATCAGTTGGGGTGGTGGGGGAAGGTGCCATCGAGACACAGCCGACTTCTGGTGACCCTTGCAGAGTTTTCAAGGCAAGAGATGCTCACAGGCAGGGGTCATTTCCTGCGGGAGCGTACAGGAGCGGAGCTCCGGCAGTAAGGAGCCCAGGGGGGCGGGCACATGCAACAAACCCCGCCCCCTGCTCCCAGCAGCCCTCAGTTGGGACACGAGGAGCAAGAAGCAGCCAGTTGCACAGCCCCCCCCCCCAAGGCCCGCCTTCAGGTACAAGCTCTCCCTCCTCTGCGAGGACAGATCTACACATCCCCCCCCCCCATAGCTAGCAATCCAAAACAGTCCAGTGGCGCCTGAGTGGTGGGTGTTGCCTTCTGACACACTTCCGGTAATGTCAGGGGGTGTGGCATATGCAAATAAGTTATGCTAATGAGCTATGCTAATGAGCCCCTGCACCTCTTTTTCTACGAAATGACAGGTAGCTTCCCCTTGCCTGCCAACCCTGGAGTTCCTTGGTGGTCGTCCATCCAAGTACTAACTGAGGCCGACCCTGCTTAGCTTCCAAGAGCTGACGAGACTGGGGCCTGCCTGGGCCAGTTGGTAGATAATGTGAAAGCCTGTGAAAGATCTACCTGGAGAGCTGCTGCCACTTTGAGCAGTCAATACGGACCTTTGATGGACCAGTGATCTGATTCATGTGTTCATTGGGGGGGGGGGGGGGAATGAGGTTGTTTCCATCGACAACTAATTTACTTGTCCTAAAACTGAATGAAAAGCACCGAGTACTAAGGCAGCCACATTCTGTACAGTGCTGGACCTTCACCCACATGGGCCCGCACTGGATTCAGGACCGGTGGGGGAGAAGGAAATCCGAAAGAATGATGCAAAAAGCCAGGAAGGAGGGTAAGAGACAGCCACGTTCGGAGCCCAGATCGGAAAGATGCGTCTGGGAAGCCAAAACCAACCCATGACTCATCTGTGCAAACACCGACAGTTCCGTTTGTAAAGTGTACACTGTTATGAATAAGCCATCCTTAAAAAAACAACAAAAAACATTGCCCAACCTTGTCGAAGAACAAAGACTCGGTCCCCACGCCATGTTTGCCGGCGTCGGCCAAGGACTGGTCCTTCAAATTAAGCAGCTTGGGTTTCTTCTGGAGGAAGAAAGACAGCAAAAGACAAGAGAGTTTCAGAACAAAGCCCCAAAAGACGGTTAACTGCCAATATCTACCCTGACATCCTCTTGGATTCTTAAACCCTTCTACAGGTATATTGCCGCTAAGGCAAAATTGTAGGAAAGCTATCTGATCTTTTCCCCTTGCTTACATCGTCACCATGAAAAGATGTTCCCTCTATTCCCCCCCGCCCCTGAGTGGAGCAGTTCACATCCTGGGCAGAGTATAACTGCTGTAACCTTCAAATGGGCAGTGCCAGCAGGGGCGGCTCTACTATGAAACTAATGAAGCTTAAGCTTCAGGGCCCCTAATCCTGGAGGGACCTTGAAGCAACTTTTTTTTTTTTTGAACGAATGCATTTTTCAACAAAATTGATGGGAGTTCTTTTAAGGGTTTGTTATTAAAATAAGGCTATCTTAGTGAAAGAATCATACGCCAGTGGGTTGAAGTATTTAGCATTGACCTTAGAATATGCTCTAATATCCGGTTCATTTTTTTAAAAAAAATTGTGGTGATCTGGAACAACCCCATTGAAGAAGACAATGGCAGTTACCCAGACCTCGTTGCTGGTGGGAAGGGGCTTACTGTACGGCCCATTTTCAAGGGCTCCGGGTGGAGCCCCGTTGTCCAGCATTTGGACCTCCAGGTCCTTGCAAGGGTAACAAGGTTCTTTGAACCTTGTTAGATGTTACCCTATTGTTGCCGGTTGAGAAGGCCCCCCCACAACAGTGCAAGCTTCAGGATCCCAAGAATGTAGATCCACCACTGAGTGCAAGTCCCTGCGTGGCTTCAGACTGCTGCTGAGCAGGGCTTCCTGTGTTAATGAACGGCCGCTCACGCGCACAGCTTAGAGCAAAGGTGTCAAACTCATTTGTTACAAGAGCTGGTTCTGACACAAATGTTATTTTGTCCGGCCAGGCTGTGTCTGCCATACAATGTAACACCCAATACTGGAGATACAAACTTTATAAATGACACAGGCAAACCCAGTTAACGATATTATTTTTTACTCAAACTACAGACAAAAGCAAGTGATTCCTAAGAGTGAAAGCAACTGTTTTACTGGGGAATCCATAAAAGCCCCCATAAATGTATTTAATCATATGCAAGAGTAGTTCCCCCCCCAAAGGATACCATACCCATCCCCCTAGCCATTTCCTTACATTTCCTGACAGCTTCAACCATTTGCATGCATCCTACCTAAGCCTTAAAAAAGAGAACATGGATATAAGCCCATCCAAGTTCTCTCCTGTTCTCCACTCTGCATGAGAGCTTCCAAGTGCTACTGTATATTTTCCTTGTGTTCTCTCATCATATATCCTGCCACTAGGGGGCTGTGGCTCAGTGGAAGAGCATCCGCTTTGCATGCAGAAGGTACCAGGTTCAATCCCCGGCACCTCCAGTTAAAGAAAGAACCAGGAAGTAGGTGATGGGGAAGACCTCTGCCTGAGACTCTGGAGAGCGGCTGCCAGTCTGAGTAGACAATACTGACCTTGATGGACCAATGGTCTGATTCAGTATAAGGCAGCTTCATGTGTGTTCACCCCTCCCAGAATCCTTTTCAGAAGGAAATCCCCCCCCCCAATGCTCGCCCACGGAGGACATTTGGGTTCTCACCTTCACCGGAGGGGTCGTTCCGGTTGTGGAGTGCCGCCGGATCTGGCAGCCGTTCTGATTAGGTCTCTGCTGCTTGCTGTTGAGCTGGGGTTTCTTGACCGTGCCCCCGTGGTCATTTCTCACCGACTCCACTTTCTCTGCGGTGGTTTTGCTTAACAGCTTATTTAAAAAGAAGCGCATGCGGAAATGCGTTAGGGATTCCGGCATCTCACACTGGGCAAGAGAAATCTGAAATATACCAGAGAGGCAGGCCGGGTCTCTCGCTATAGCGGGAAACCTCACGCTGCCTACCACCCAGTCCCCAATGCCAGCAAGTCTAAAATGGGTGTGTGTGTGTGAGAGGTGGGGGTGGCATTCCGGTGTACAATGTCTCTTCAGGTGAAAACCAGAAAGGGTGATGCTCTAGGGCGGGGGTGGCCAAACTGTGGCTCGGGAGCCGCGTGCGTGCTCTTTCACACATATTGTGTGGCTCCCGGCAGGGCGGCTGGGGAAGCCAAATATCACTAGCAAACACATATCATTAGACAAACAAATATCCTTATTCATATCTGCTTTTACCACTTTTTAAATTATTTTTGGCAGCCTTGTTTAATGTTAATTAAAAAAGCAGATCTGCAGATTTCCCTGTAAAAACGTGTCATGTTTGTTCATGTCTCGTGGCTCTCAAACGGACCCATATGGCAGCCTAGCTGACAGTGACGTTTATTCTGTGTGGCTCTTACATTAGGCAAGTTCGGCCACCTCTGCTCCGGGGATTCACTCAAAACACTGTGGTGATCCTGGAGCACCCCCCCACACAACATGACGACATCACTTCCAGATTTTGCAGGAAGTGACGTCGCACACTGGCGTGCCAGTCCCCGCCCCCCGCCCCAGTTCCTCCAGCTGGCAACCATAATATGGGATTATAAATCACCGCCTACGCAGACGACGGGCTACTGTAAAGAGAAGGCTTCTGCTAAAGGGAGGGGATTGTGGTTGTGTACGCCCCTTCTACATTAACCTCTCCCCAAAATATATCCTTCCCAGAAATCAGCTGCCCAGCACCATGTATTCTGTTTCTTTTTTTTAGAGATTTCCCAAAGGGAACCATGAAAGGCTGACCCCGCTGAGACATGAAACTCGCTGGGAGACCTGGGTCCCTTCACACACACTCAGCCTCACGTGCCTCGCCGGGCTGATGTTGTGAGGATGAAACGAGAGCCATTTCATAAAGCTGATGAATTATGAAGTAAGATCTATGCCACCCTGCACACCTTGGAGGAAGGGGCAGGCTACAAACGCAAAGGACAGACAAATAAATAATCCTGAGATCTCAGCCCTTGATCTGCAAGCCGCCGTGAGCCAAGACTCTGAGGTGGTGGAACAGAAACATCCTAAACAAATAAAGCACACTGTACTGCAGCGTCATTCAGATTAATGTTCCCTCTAAGCTGAGCTAGTGTGAGCTGGTTCACAGCTTTTTTAGCCTCCGGCTCACACGTTTTTGTCTTCGCTCGGGAAGGACGGCTCCAGAGCAGACTAATTGATGCAGCAGCCAAATCGCTCGCTCACAGCTTTAATGCCAGGAGCTCACAAAGTAGGATTTTTGCTCACGGGACTCCACAGCTTAGAGGGAACACCACCAGGGATGATGACGGGATGAGGGAACAGCCTGCTAGAGAGGCCCCCCCCCCTTTGTGCATGAGGAGTCAAAACTCACCACGGAGCTGTTTGCGTCCGGCAAGAACTGCCCAAATTCCGAAAGCAGGTCCTCCTGGTTCTTGAACAGGCGGGCCACCTGGGCGTATACCTCTTGCTCGGTCAAAGCTGGTGTGTAGTTACCCCCTGCTTCCTTGGCATTCCGCTGCTCTTTCTGCCGTAGGAAAGGAGGAAAAGCCCCAGCGGGGAGAGAGAGAGAGAAAACAAGCAAATCAGAGCTCTGAACTGGGGCACCCTGCCTTGCTTTCCGTTTTTCCTTGCTCTTTCACGAAAAGCCAGAGCAAGTAGTCAGGGGGACAAGTAAAAAGGAAAAGGTTTCCCTTGCTCGAAAGCCAGTCGAGTCTGACTCTAGGGTTGCGGTGCTCATCTCCGTTTCCAAGCTGAAGAGCCAGTGCAATCCGAAGACGTTTCCATGGTCGTGTGGCCGGCATGACTAAACACCAAGGTGCACGGAACGCTGTTTCCTTCCCACTGAAGTGGTACCTATTCATCTACTTGCAATTTCTTGCTTTCGAACTGTTAGGTTGGCAGGAGCTGGAACTAGAGACGGGAGCTCACTCCGTCATGCGGCACACTCGGGTCTCCAACTGCTGTACTACCAACCTTCCACAGCCTGCAGTTCAGCGTCTTAACCACTTGAGCCACCGCAGCTCCTCAGGGGGACAAGTACCAAAGGACAAAGTGTGTGTGTGTGTATTAGCCATCAAGTCACAGCCAATGTATGGCGACCCCCTGAGGCTTTCAAGGCAAGAGACGAACCGAGGTGCTTTGCCACCGCCTGCCTCTGCGTAGCAACCCTGGACTTCCTTGGCTGTCTCCCATCCAAGAACTAGCCAGGGCAGACCCTGCTTAGCTTCTGAGATCTGATGAGATCGGGCTAGCCTGAGTCATCCAGGTCAGGACAAGAGATGAACAGAGGTGGCTTGCCATGGCCTGCCTCTGCACAGCAACCTTGGACTTCCTTGGCGGTCTCCCATCCAAGAAGTAACCAGGGCAGACCCCTGAGAGCTTCTGAGATCTGATGAGATTGAGCTAGCCTGGGCTAGGTGATGGAAAGTGCCAATGAGTTGCAGTGGACTTATGGAGAACCTATAGAACTTTCAAGGCAAGAGACAAACCGAGGTGGTTCGCCACTGCCTGCCTCTGCGTAGCAACCCTGGACTTCCTTGGCGGTCTCCCATCCAAGTACCAACCAGGGCTTAACCTGTTCAGCTTCTGACATCTGATGAGATGAGGCTAAGCCTGGGGCATCCGGGTCAGGACAAAAGACATTTATAGGTGAGCTGCCGTTGCCTGCCACTACATGGCAACCCTGGATGTCCTTGGTGGCCTCTCATCCGAGTATGGACTGGGGTCGACCCTGCTTGGCTTCTGAGGTCTGACGAGACTCGGCTAGGCTGGACCATCCAGTGCAAGGCAGAAGAGATGAAGACTGGATTTGTACCCTGGCCTTCCCTCGGAATCTCAGAGCAGCTTACAAACTCCTTCCCCTCCCCACAACAGACACCCTGTGAGGTAGGCGGGGCTGAGAGAGCTCTGAGAGAGCTGCTCTTTCAAGGACAGCTCTGACAGAATGATGGCTTGCCCGAGGTCATCCGCAGCTGCGAGTGGAGGAGTGGGGAATCAAACCCAGACCTCCCAGTCTGCGCACTTAACCACGACACCAGACTGGCTGAGATGAACAGAGGTGGTTTGCCGTTACCTGCTGCTACATAGCAATCCTGGACTTCCTAAGTGGTCTCCCATCCAAGAACTAGCCAGGGCAGACCCTGCTTAGCTTCTGAGATCTGATGAGACTGGGCTAGCCTGTGCCATCTATGCCAGGGTAAGACAAAAATACACTGGGGAAAATCTCCATTCCTGCCCTTTGAAGGATTCTCACCAAGGGCCAAGCTCCTGAGAGGTCATCCTACTAGATTTCTTCCCACTTTTATTTTCGCACATCTGTTTCAAACTCCTCACAAAGCAGGTGGTAGACTGAAGAAGACGACTTATCTCACAAGACTAGCTGGTTGTTTGCTAGCTGCTGTTTCCGTTCTCCTTTCCAGCACCCCTCAACTCTTGACGCCTTTC